AGAAGGACTCTCAGCTAGAATTACTTCATGCAGAACTGAAAGAGAGGGACAGCTTGAGAATCCAAGCTGCAGAAATGGAGGCTCGGCATAAGGAACTGGAAGAGAGCATTGCTCAGCTTCAAGCCCGGTTAGGGACAGCATCTGCTCTTGCTTCTGAGAAGGACTCTCAGCTAGAATTACTTCATGCAGAACTGAAAGAGAGGGACAGCTTGAGAATCCAAGCTGCAGAAATGGAGGCTCGGCATAAGGAACTGGAAGAGAGCATTGCTCAGCTTCAAGCCCAGTTAGGGACAGCATCTGTTCTTGCGTCTGAGAAGGACTCTCAGCTGGAATCACTTCATGCAGAACTGAAAGAGAGGGATGGCTTGAGAATCCAAGCTGCAGAAATGGAGGCTCGGCATAAGGAACTGGAAGAGAGCATTGCTCAGCTTCAAGCCCGGTTAGGGACAGCATCTGCCCTTGCTTCTGGGAAGCAATCAGAGCTAGACTTGCTGCATAAAGAGGTAAGAGAGAGAGAGAAGCTGAGAATTAGAGCAGTGGAGGTTGAAGAAGCACAGCATAAGGAATTGGAAGAGCGGGTCACTGAGGCATCAACTCTTGCCTCTGAGAGGAAATCCCAACTTGACTCATTGCATAATGAAATGAATGAGAAGGACCATGTGATCAAGACTCAGCATATGGAGTTGGAATCCACTGTAACCCAGCTGAAGGAACAGCTTCATACTGCCACCTCTCTTGCTGCTGTACAGAAACGGGTCAATGAAAAATTAAATGAGGACATTCGAAGGCTTGATGTCGTAAGGCAAGAGTCAATGGAAAGGGATGCGCTCCGGATTCGTGCTATAGAAGCTGAGGATCTGAAAAGGAAAGAAATGGAAGAGACTATAGTGAAGCTCAAGTCAGAGATCCTTACACACACTACCAAACTAGAGCATCTTAATAAGTGGCACCAGCAGCAGCTCTCAGTGCTTAGGAATGAGAATCAAACGCTGTTGTCTATGAAGGAGTCCATGGTGAAGGAGCAGGAGGTTTCCCAACGGGTGAAGGTCTCCCTGGAGAGCAAGCTGAAGCTTGCTGGGCAGGAGCTGTCTGTACTTCTCCCCTTACAGGAGTGTAAGGCAGAGAACGAGCGGCTCATTGGTGATCTTCAGGAGCAGCTGCAGGCGAAAACTGAAGCAATGAAACACTGCAAAGCTCAGGTCAGGAATGGAGAATGGATAATGCCTTAAGAGTCTTAGGCTATAAATCCTCTGAAGACTGTTGTTTTGCTTTTGTGCTAATAGACATTCGGTATGTAATTTTCAGGTTCAGATGGCGAAGACCCACTACAATGGGAAGAAGCAGCAGCTGCTGGAGGTCCAGGAGAAGGCTCAAACACTAGAGAATACACTTGAGAGCAGAGATCAGGAGGTGAAGGTACTCAGGAGTGAGATGAAGCTGCTGCAGATAGAGCTGGATCAGGCCAAGCTCTCAGAGAAAGATCTGGCCTTAAAAGTGAACAGCTTGCAGGCTCAGGTGGGTGTCAGACAAATGCTGGGGTTTTCACACTGTCATTTATTTGCAAGCTTAGTTTATTCCATCCTTAATTGAAGTCATTTATTTATATAGCACATTTAAAAACAACAGGAGTTGACCCAAAGTGCTTTCTAGTTTAGAAAGAATTATTTGAAAAATACTACATACATAGTAAAGTGTATAAATAACATGAAAACGTACAAGAAATAAAAAAATGAAAAAAGGCAAAATAAAAGGAGCATCAGAAAAGACGGCAATTAAAATTCAGTTATTAAAATGAAATGTAAAGTAACTTAATAGTGGACTTGACAAAACCCTAGTAGAACCTCAAACTGAGCAGAGATCAGGAGAAAACGGTGGGTCTAGATTTAAACTCGACAATCAAAGAGCAGGACTTAACGTTGGACGAGAGATTATTCCAACGTCTGGGGGCAGTTGCAGAGAGAGCCCGGTCGCCTTTGGTTTTGAGACATGAGTGAGGAGCTGTTGCGAAGATGATCTAAGTAGCCAGGGTCCTTACCCCTCCTACAATTGTGTCTTTATGGGGTGAGCAGGTTGACTATGCTGACAGGCAACTGAGGGAATATGCAAAGCATGGGATTGACACCACTCTGAATACCTGCAAGCCTCCCTCTCAGGAGGAACGGAGTGAGAAGCTAGCAGACCTCAGCAAGGACAGCCTGGATTTCTGCTTGGACGACTCCCTCAGTGCCACCCGGTAACCTGCCATGCGTCACTGTGACACCTCCCGCTTTAGCTTTAATGCCGAAGTTGGGTGCCGTTTGAGTGATGTTCACGTGACGTGGTGTAGCACTGACCTGTGGTCTCGCCCACGGGCTGCCAGGAAGCCGCTGGCGCATGAGGAGTCCAGCACGCCGCTGGTGCGCAGCTCGGAGCGCCTGAGGGCGAAGCGGCGGGCACTGGGTGACGACTCCATAGACACCATCTTCTTCACCCCCATGGCCAGCAACTGCCCCAGGAGTAAGCTGGAGAACAGCATCATGTCGCTGGGCGAGCTTGCGATCGACTCGTCCAAGAAGAGCTACTCTGCCCGCCGGCGGACCACACAGGTTATCAACATCACCATGACTAAGGTTAAGGGCACGCACCCCCTCCTTCACCACCCCCATCCTCCGCCCCAAGATTTTATCGGTCCTCTTGTTTGAAATATGTGCTGAAGTTCATGTAACATTTGAATTTTAAATGTAACTTTATCAGATTTTCCTAATGCGGATCATTAACCTTGAGTTTGGTCTGTACTGACCATTTTAGTATAGGCTTGCATTGTGAATATATCATGCATACGTTTAATACATTTGCAGGAAAGGGTTAGTTCCTCATCACGTTATGGTGTGTTTTGGATCTGCTTACTCTGACATCACTTTTGTGACAGCATGTTTTGCACTGATAACAGGTGTTTTACAGACCTATTTATAGACCTGTTGCACCTTTGCTGCCCTTGTTACTGACACACCCCCGTTCGCTTGCAGAAGACTCCAGGCAAAGCTGAGGTCGATGGTGAAAGCAGCTTGTTCTCCAGTCTCCACTCTGCCCAATCGGTTCCCAACATTGCCTCGCAGAGGAATCGCCCGATCTCCATGGAGTTCTTTGATGAGCCTGTTGGGGGCAGCAGTGACCACCTCCTGAGTTTGCCAGGATACCGCCGCAGCACTACTCACAGCCACGTCCCACCTCGCAGTGAGTCCTTCCTCTGCAGACGGTGCCTTCTCTCCTTTGTAGTCTGTATCATGTTAAATGCATTCTGTAACAGTCTGCCGTGGTCTCTGGGCCATCAGACATTAACACGTATGGTGTGGGAGCTGAGAATGAACCTGACGTCACAGACGACTGGAAGCGCATTGTTGAGCTCCAGGCCCGAAATAAAGCCTGTCTGCCTCACCTGAAGAGCAGCTACCCTTTGGAGTCCAGGGTGAGAGTGCTGAACGGCCGGCTGCAAGCTGCATTTGTTACACTAAAGCTTTGGAATTCCAACAAATCAGATAAAGGGGCAGTTCACCTCAAAACTGAAAAAAAAAATGGTTTGATGGGCTTTACTCCTATCTATCCATCCAAGTTGTTCCTCTTGGAGTTGTCTACTCTTGGAACTAGAAATGTCTGTCTCCTCAAATATAATGGGAGTGAATGGCTGTGATGATTACAGTGGCAAAAAATACATTAGAAAAATTCCACAGCAACGTCTCTTACTAGAAATCATGACCCGGTTACGCAAGATAATTCACAGATTTTGTAGTGAGCAGTTTAATGTAGGAACTTTTCTACTACTAAACTCCACACATCAATCCTGTCACCGTGCAGAAAATACGAACACTAGTGATATCTTCTCCGCAGTGATATGGTTGATGTATGTATTTTTTTGTCCCATTAAACATGGCAGAAAAAATGCCATTCAATCCTGTTATATTTAAGATAATAGGTGTCTCCAAAACTAGGCAACTCCCAGCAGAACAAACTTGATGAATAGATCGCTCTAAAGCCCCTCTAAAATATTTTTGAACTGGCCCTTTAATTTGCACTGCAAAAACTAAATGTAAATCTTCAGTCAAGCTAGTTCGAGTGTAATGAACTGTATCCTAAATTTGGTTACGCTGTAACACGTGAAGTGTTTCTCTTAATGTGGTGTAAAAGAGAGAGGTTTGACTCGTCTTCCTCATTTCCATGCAGCCAAGCCTGGGAATGCCGTTGTTTAACATCACAGATGAAGACCTGAGGACTGGAGACCCGATGGAGACGATTCGTCGTGCCTCGATGCTCCCAGATCAGATTGGGGAAGGCGTGGCTTCCCGGCGCTCTACCATGCTGCCTGGCCAGATTGGTGCCGGGCTGGCATCACGCCGTGCCTCCGTGCTTCCTAAGCCGGCTTCTGTTGTTGGCCAGAATGCAGGAGGGTCTGTCTTCTCCCTGAAGCGCCAAGGCGATAACTTGCTGGAGTCGGACACACCAGAAGTACGTTTGGGTGATAGTGGGGAGAGAGTCCTGCACGTGGGGATTGAAGATGCTAATGTTCCCTCTACGTTTTTTTTTTTCTCTCCTAGGCTAAGAAGATGCCAAGCTGCTTCCCCCGACCAATTCAGAGCAAATCTCCCAATACTCCTGTAAGATGTCAGGCATGAAAGGCCTTTTTTTCAGTAAAGTAGACCAATTTTCCGCAGGGTGCATGAAAATCAGCAGGATATGATTTGATAGGGATGTTTTCTTCTTTGGGAAATCCAGCGCCGGATTGGCAGCGTTTACTCTGCACGTCGACTTACTCTGTCTGTCCCGCAGGCGGAGCGCAGGCAGTCGGTGATGTTCAGTGTTGACAACACACCCCATAAGAATGCCAAGAGCAGCATTCTGCAGCGAGGCATCAACAAGATGCGGAGTAGCACCCGCAAGTCCCCAGGATCCGTCAGCAAGATCGCTGGTTCCGTCAGCAAGATCGCTGGTTCCGTCAGCAAGATCCCTCGCTCCAGGAAGTCTCCCCAGAGTGATGCGGCGAAGCCACAGCGCCGCTCCCCCCGGATCAACTGCAGAAAATCCCCCAAAATCACCGCCAGTGCCAAGAAGGTGAGCCAGGCCTGTGTCACTAATATACATAGTTTAATTAGACCAAATCCAGCATTTTAAAATTCAAGAGTGTGCTGAGGTTTCTGGTACCACAGTTCTGAACATACGTATCTTTGTGTAGAGTGTGGACTCAACAGGCAGATGGCAGCATTACCATGCAGGTCTTAAATCCCCTGTGTATTACCTACCTTCTCCACTGGGTGGGGATTCAGAGTCACTGGGCAATAAAGGGCTGGTGATGCAATCAGTTTGCACATTTTATACCATAAATTAAGCACTTAGTCATTAGGTGTCTTCCACCCTGTTTTGTCACTCGTGATGGTTCATGATGACTCTGCACCTCTGAGATTTGCTTTTCCTTACAATCTGTGGGCAGGATATGTGCCGTAAATCATGTCCCTTCTGGGGGACTCGTCAGGACTGATGAAATGACAGAGGGGGACCTTTAACGTCTGCTTGTTTTCCAGATAATGGCTTACCGGCCACGAATGAAGATATGATAGCTGGACGTGTTCTGGTTTGCCCTACTGCTTCACACCCAGACAAGCATCAATCAAACTAAAGAACATTTTATCCTTTTAAACTGAGTAATTATTTTAATGGGTGTGCATTTTATGAAACCGGTCAAAGTTCAATTCATCTTTTTCATTAAAGAATGTTAATCTTCTAAGGATTGGTTTAGCATTCATACACTAATTTCATATTGTTACTTTTTATGATTACTGTACATTACCAGAGCACAACAAGCTGCAAATCCTAGGTGATGGAATTTTTATTTTGTAAGTTTTTGGTTTGTTAAAATTGAGCTTAATACATTCCCAGGGTTAACGTGCACTTCACAGTGTGCCTGAGACATTGAGTTATTTGAGGGGAAACAAAGGTTTGATTTGGAAAGAGATTCAGGGTCTACATTGCAGGGCCCTGCCTGACAGCTGGCTGCTCCTGTTCACGTTTTGAGGGTTAGGTACAAAAACTTATGTTCTCAGGCCACTACTAGTGAACATGTTTACACCCCTGCATTGATTCCTGTAGGTTGTGGGATGTATAGGAAAATGTAATCCGAAAACAGTGCCGTAAGATGCAATCAAAACAATGTTTGTGGATGTGTTTGGTGTAAGGGGCGGGGGATGATTGAAATGCTGTCTCCGCCCCCCCCCCCCAATTAATCATGCACGTCACAGTTTCCGGAGGCGAAGCCACTGCTCTGTTTGCACAGATCTTTTCACATTGCCGCCAGCTGAAAGCACGAAAGGCCCCGTTTACGGGCCTTGGTGGGTTTGCTGTGCTCTGTAGCTGCTTGTTTATATTTGTATGTGTCCCTTTTGTCGCTTGCTGGCCTGTCACTTATTTGCTTGTGACTTTCCTTTTGAAATAAAGCACTTGTTTCCTGTCTGTTCTTTTCAATTATTCAGGTATGGAGAAAGTGGACAAAATAACAGAAGTTCCACAATAAAAAAAAAAAAAGACTTAAATCAGGATTTCAAATACAGCTAGAAATGACATAATTAGTAGTATGTGTCAGACATGACAGAGGACTGACAGATCCAAGGAGGCTTAGTGGTCAGTGCAGAAATTTAAGGAGCATCAGCCACACAACTTGCAAAACAAACAGGCAAAGAGGAAGAGTCAAAGATGACAGCATGTGCAGATGGACACGCTGCCCTGGTAAACAGCAGTAGTGTTGGCATGTATAAATCTGACAGGCATAGACATAACTACAGAACGCCACAGTAGTACAGCCTCAAACCACCACAGGTCTGAAATGGTAATTCAGCCCCAACAAAACCCATAGATCAGAAATGTCACAAAGCTGTAATTTATGGCAAAGCTGCTGTTTGGAAACCACTTGTATCCATGAGTGATGCTTCCAGTATCACAATGTGGGCTTAGCTCCTTAGCTGGATAACTTGTTGGGTTTAAGATACCCCATTTTAAAGGGGCTTCATTTCCTTACAACCCCATTTCCAAAAAAGTTGGGATGCTGTGTAAAATGTAAAAAATAAACAATGCAATGATTTACAAATCATATAAACCTGTATTTAGCTGTAAACAAAGCGATGCAGTGCAGTGGTAAACATGCCCCTGTCCCAACTTTTTTAAAATGTATTGCTGGTATCAAATTGAAATTGAGAATATATTTCTCATAAAACAAAATTTCTGCAGACGTAAGAAATGCATGCACAAGTGCAAAATACTCAGTGTAATTGGTTCTTTTGTGCCGTTGTTCTGACAAAACATCCTACCTATCGAGACGTGCAATCAAGCCTTTCTGCGCATGTGCAGTTCCACCGTCTTTGGATTAGTGTTAGGTTTTAGGGGTTAGGGCTATCGATTAGCACTACGGTAGGATGTTTTGATGAAGTAGGACGTTTTGTCAGAACACCGTAACACACGCATTTATGTATGTAGCAGTTTTATTGCCTTGTGAATAGTCTGTAGGGTTTGCAAACTACCCCAACGCTTTTGATGCAGCTAATTCTGGGTTTATAATAGAATAATATAGATTTGCCGTAGGATTTCTTGCGTGGGAGTCTGAAATCGTGAGTGTCACGCCAGATGCGTGAGAGCTGGCAGCCCTGTGAATAAGTAAAATACACAGTTCAGTTCAGCAAGCCATACAAAGGCAGTCTAGGGCTTATCCTTCGCTCGTCTCTCCTTGTATTCATTCTCGGTATCGTTTAAAGAGAAACTAAACGTCATTTAGAGACGGGAATGACCTATTTCAGATCGCCTTTACGTTTTATATCTTTATTCTGGTGCAAATGTCAATCACCGTCTAAAGACAGGAATTACATCACGGTAAATGAACTTGTGAACCGGACGCCGCACGATGTTATGCGGAAGAGTCTTTGTGGAAACGCGCTTGTACATAGTTTCTGCCGACATTTTGCGACATTTTCTCTTACATTGACAGTTTCCCCCATGCGTTTGGTAAGAAGCATTTACATTGTGATTTCCAAATGTAACTTTTCCTCATAACTGAGTCGGTTTTGCTGTAGGCTGATCTGCATGGAGACACTTTTTAGGGGTTTCGGGCAAATTCTAGCGACTGGGACCTGTGTTTGTTAAAATTGAGACATGCATACATATTCAAATGGTGAATATAGCGACCTTAGCGATATATGCTACAATTTTATATGGGAGACGATTCAGGATAAAAACAATGATACTGTGCTTTTTCTGTCAGTGTTAAGATGAGTCTCCCAGAAGGAAGCGAGAGTCCGGCGGGGTCCATGCCCGACCTGCAGAGGTGAGGCGTTTTGTTTTTCCAACATGTACGAAGGCAGGATGTGGCGTGAAATACGAGCCTGATAGCGCTCTGCGGAGCTCGGGAGTCACATATAACACCCTAAATCTGTAATATTCTGTAAAAGCCTAAACGTCCGCATATACTATGTATATTAGTGACACTGTACGTTTTTTGTTTGTTTCTATCAGTTTATTTTTATCAAAAATGGGGGGGGGGGGGGCGGCGGCGCTGCAAGGAATACAAAAAAATGCGCGACCCATTCGCTGCTACAAAAGTCCTACATTACAAAAAATAATCAAAATAATCCATTTAATCAGTGACCCAATGGAAATTGTTACTTGATCCACTTTGGGGTTGCAGAACCACATTTGGTGAGAACCACTGTTGTAACAGTAAGTGGAATAATGCCTGTGTTATCTGTTGTTTTCTTTTTCCTTGTTCTTTGTTGATTTTTGTGGGGCAGCGTCATGGACGAGAGAACAAATGAAATAGTTAATAGAATCTTGCTGTTGTGTGGTTGTGCCCAGTGTCGATGTGGGGGAGCCTAACTGGGCAGACGGAACTGAGGCACCGCCTTCCAGCTATGGGTCCATGAAAAGTGATGAGAACAGTGTCACTTCCGAAATCCCAGAGGAGGAAAAGGAGGACCCTGCTGCTGCCGCCTCAAGGCATGTGCACCGTCACAGGGCCTGCATTCTCACTTAGTGTGAACATTGTAAATATTGTGTTAAAAATGATTTCACTGTGGCGTACCTACAGCCCATGAATCTGACCAGGGTAAGCAGTTATGTAATGGAGGGGGGCTTAGTTGTCTTTACAACAGGATTGTGTGTAGCCTAAGAAATTTAGCCAGAGTTGGATAGTTCTGGTCCAGAAAGTAAAAATCCAGACCAAGATTTTGTTTCAGCCAACCAGTTGAGTGTAGAGTCACAGTCACTAAACTGGTTGGTTTAAATTAAATCTTGTCTTTGTTTTGAAACTGGAATGAAAATGCATTTTAAACTGTGTACAGATACATTTTTGTAAATAACGATGTTGCATTTGCGAAGTGGCGTAGGGTTAATGCAGTCATCGGATCTTGAAGAGGATGCTGGGATGCCGAATTCAGCTACTGAGGATGCCACCCTGGAGTTGCCATATATATTTAAGGTAATATTCTAATTATTCTTCGGTACTGCAGGAAAAGTCAGGCATCATAGAGTTACTAGCTATGCAGGCTAACACAATAGCAGTGCTTCTGCAGATATGTAGAATGTTGAACCTTCTAGAGTAGCAACCTTTTTTGGATGTCAGAGAGTACTCATTGTTTTAAACCTTTTGCAAATACATGATCAAACTAAATGTCTCAATTTACATGAAAAGGAATTTAGTGGTAAATTAAAATGGTAATATATGCATTATTTTGGCCAAATGCAGGTCCATTTCCATACCTTAAGTTTTTTTAGTTATTAGTTATTACACCGCATTGTAATTGCTCAATTTTTTTACTATGCCATCACAGAAAAAACGAGAAATAAAAAACATGTTAAATTAGTTTCGTCTTTCAGAAATACTTGAAGCAATTGCCTGATCATTGATTTCTTTCTTCTTCTAAATTGCAGTCAATCCAAAAGACTCTAAATAATCTCAGTGAGATGAAGTTGCTTCTGTTCAAGATGTGCCTGCTCAAGCACCACGCTGAGTATTTTGAGGGTCATCTGGACAAAAATGCTGATATCCTGGACATTGTGGACAAGATGCTGGAACGCTGCGGAAAAGGGGGAGCGCTGAATGTAACCCTGCGCGTTCTCCATGACATCAAGGTGCATGACTTGGCTGAGGAGCTGGAGAAGAGCTGCATACGATGTAAGCCCCCTCCCGGGAATTAATGTAGATATCATTCAGACAGATTAATTTTAAAAAACCAATTCATGTTGTGGGTTTGTCTTGCATTGCATAAGATTACTGAAATAGAAGTAAAGATGATTTTATAATACTTGAAAATAATTTTTTTCCATAGTGAGGCTCCAGCATGACCTGAAAACTTGTCTGAAGAGGCGGTATGACTGCATATTTGAAGGAATAGCAAGACAAGGAAACCAAAGCTTTCTGAGCTATGTCTACACTGACATGCAGATGGTTTCAGATAGGAATGCAGTGAACAGGGAGCATGAAGTGAGGCAAGATGAGACTAGCCATGGAAATCAAGTACGACAAGGTACTGCAATCCCGTGCAGTGACATCTTCAGGTGCTTGCCTGGCCAATACAAGCCTGTCAGAAATGTACTTACAACTGGTATTGCTGGTATTGGTTTAACAGTCTGTGTGCAGAAGTACATTCTTGACTGGACAGAAGAGAAACCCAACCAGGATATTCACTTTATCTTCCCTCTTCCATTTCGGGAGCTGAATTTAATTAAGGAAGATCGCATCAGTTTGAGGGACCTTATTTGTATCTTCTTTCCGGACATGAAAGAAATGGATTTCATAGAAAAGAAGGACTGTAGAGTCCTTTTCATCCTTGATGGCTTGGATGTCTGTAAACTGCCTCTTAATTTCCAGGAGAATGACAAAGTGAGTGATATAGAACAGCGGACAACACCACAAGTGTTACTCACAAACCTAATGCTGGGGAATCTGCTGCCCTCTGCCCACGTGTGGATAACTTCCCGGTCTGCGGCAGCCAACCTGATCCCTTTTGAGTGTGTCCATTGGTACACGGAGCTGTGTGGATTTAATGATGATCAGAAGAAGGCTTACTTCACCCAGAAATTCAAAGATCCAGCACAGCTCTGTCAAGTTTTGTCACGCGTGACTTCAGCAAGGTCCTTGCAAATCATGTGCCATATACCGGTGTTCTGTTGGATTGTGGCCACTGTTTTCGAGCGGAAGTTCGCTGACCCCGACAGAACAGTGATCACAACACTCACTCAGTTTTATACACATTACCTGGTTCTCCAGTTGCACATGAAGAATCAGAAGTATTATGGGATGAAGGCAGGTTTGCAACAGTGGCAGGACACAGACCCAGAGTTTGTTCTTAAACTGGCTAAATTAGCCTTTGAACAACTAGAGAAAGATAGATTCGTCTTTCATGAGGTGGACTTGAGAGAATATGGCCTGGGCTTCAGAGATGTGGTGCTGCACTCTGGGCTCTGCACAGAAATATACAAACAGGACTCCTGTCAGGAGAGGGAATTCTGCTTTGTTCATCAGACCTTGCAGGAGTACCTTGCAGCACTGCATGTGCACTACACATTTTTAAACCGTCACCAAAATGTACTTGGCCAGCCTTTGAAGAACACCATCTCAAAGATCTTTAAACCAGCACCCATGTGTGACTTGTACAAGACCGCAATAGAAAGAGCCATGCAGAGTGGAGATGGACACCTGGATCTTTTCCTCCGGTTCCTTTTTGGCCTCTCGGAACACTCCACGCAGGAAATCTTAAGGGGCCTCCTGAAGCGCATGGGAGTTGCTCCACCGGTTCCTGAAGAAATGACCAATTACATTGAAAAGCTGAGGAGTGAGAATAGCAATCCAGAGAGATGTGGAAATCTGGCCCACTGTCTGCGTGAACTGCAGCTCAGCTGATGTGACACTAAAGCACTGTGACTTCATGATACTTTTATTATCCACTAATAACATACAAACATACGGCAGTTTACTATCACTACAGTAAATAGATTTGTTATAATAAAAGTAATGTGACACTTTCAGGCTCTCAAACAAGACATATTACGGCAAGTCTGTAAACCTAAAATTAGCTAGCCTATTTGCAAGGTAATAAAACTGTTACATGTATGTATGTGTGTGCAGACTTGTCTTGAATTGAAAATGTCACACCAGCCAGCTGAGCAAAGCAACCCTAGCAACCCTTGGACAGATTTATTGTGTTTTTTAGTGTTAGAAAGTGTACGGTAAAGAGGGAGCGTGCTAACTGTATACGGTGTATAAAACTAGAATGGGTTCGGTGCCCTTCGGATTATAAATGCAGATATGTATAGTGAAGAACAGCGCGGTATGCCTCCGAGGCAATAGAGGGCGGTAGTGCGCTAAATCTGTGTTACAAATATTCTACTTTGAAAGGAAGACGCATTTTTTAAATCAAAATCGATATGTATAGTACCTGTGTCTATCAAACAGCCTTGAATTTGTGTGAAAAAGGATTTGGTTGTGTGTATTCTGGTAAAACAAAAAAAGCATATTAAATATGATCCATTTTTATTTATGTTTTTGAATCTTTATTTTTTAAGCACATGTCCATACAAATGATTAATAACAAAATGGCATGATATGGAGCATAGAGTCACATTAACAGAAATCACCAGAAAGAATGAAAATACTGTACATGTAATCTAACTTCCCAAATTAACTAAATTCCACCATGTATCAAAAAAAGGAAGAAGGCGCAAAAGATTCAGAGAACAGTAAGGAGTTAGAGAATGGGATATACATTTTCCTTGCTTTTTTTTCAATATGATCCCTGTTGCACTTTCAGCCATTGTTGCCAACTCCTCAGCAAGGAAACTCGTTATTGGCTGTCCCAAAAGTCGCTAGAAGTCGCTAAATGACGCCATCGCCTCATTTGCATAATGTGAATGTAATTGTAATGGACACAGGAGAGAGGAATAATGTCGTGGGAGAGACAAAAAGTGTTTTTCCATAGATACGTTTATATCACCGGCAAAAGTGACCCCAAAGAGACACTCTGGCAGAGTTACTTTTTTAGGTTTGCTTAAGTGTACAAGTCACAATAAACAAGTGAACCCTTAACATTTTTTGTATAAAATCTACATTAACAATCTAAACGGATCAAAAAAGGACAAATGAAAAAAATTGTCAATGGCAATGTGAGAAAATGATGCACATCTCCTGCTGTGACTGCAGCTGGGCGGGGCTGCTGCACGCGGCCTGGCCACCTGTGAGTGCTTTGGGACGGGAGGGGAGCCCACAGCAGCACCCGCTGCCCGGTGAGAAGAGTAAGGACGATACGTGCTTTCACGTCAGAGTCTCCAAAAGTCTCCAGTAACACCAGAAAAAGTCGCTAGATTTGACGCTAGTCGCTTTTTTGAAAACGAGTCGCTAGAGGGGTCTAAAAACTCTAAATATAGTGACAAAATTGCCAAGTTGGCAACACTGCTTTCAGCTGACTGATTTTCGCTTAACTTTAAGCGCCTTGTACCCGAAGTAGGCGGAATTTACAACGTCCTATCCGTGGCTGATCTGTGTTCAAAGCAACAGAATCCGACGACGTAACCAATGAGAGGTTGGGAATTGGTGATTGACGTCGCACAGTAGTACCGTCCCCCTGCCTTGTCCACGCGAGTGTTCCCGAAGGCAGTCCGCGCGTGCGCGTTGCGGCGTTTCGCGAAATTTCCCGAACTTGCCGGAATATTCTGGCGGCGGTCTGCAGGCAATCTGGCCAAGCGGAGGTAGTTCTGTGCTCAGCCCGAACCGGCTGGCTAGTTATCGCTCATTCACAGTTAGTTAAAATCCATAACAATCTGTTTACTGTTACTAAAGATTTCTATCTGCATAAGCCAGTCTTTCATAAATAAAATATAATTTTGTTTCCAGACCACCATGTCCGTGCTGTGTTACAACAAAGGTTGTGGACAGCGGTTTGACCCAGATCAGAATCCTGATGGTAAGTTGTGTTGTGTAAGTCGAAATGAGCATTGATTAAAATGTAAAATCACTCCGGTTAAATAACAGCTTTGTCAATGAACGACATTACCGGCTTTTTCGCCGGCGCCGCGTTACGGTTCTGGCTGGCCGTCAAGCCTGGATTATATAAGAACGGATGTATTTTTAAATATGATGTACACATGTTTTGTGCTGTTTAATATTTATACTTTTAAATTCATTGGCTTGGTAAAGTCTCACGGAAGACATCTTCCGTATTGGATGTCTAACTAGTTATCTAGTTTACTTGCGAGGCAAGGTAGAGCTTTGATGTTCACCGAGGTTAGCCTGATTAGTTTTAACTGTACGTTTGTTAATCGACGCGTATTTTACAGAGAACAATAAAAAAAAACACGTTGATCTAGTGCTGCGGCAAAAACGTGCATATCACACCGTTGGGCGCCATGATTTCACCTCGGCGGTGGGGAACTGCCCTCTGCGTTAAAACTCCTAGTGTTAATGCCCAAGTTGGACTTGATCCACTATGCGCATCAGCGAATGGCTCTGGTTTTATACACCGTAAACACGTGAAAATGAGTGAAAAGTAAAAGTGAGTGTGGCAGGTTTTTTTTTCATAGGTAGGAGAATTCAGGACAGTACAGCATTTAAACTGGCAAATGTCATCTGAATGTATCGGTGTTTGTTACCGAGACTCATCTAAATTGCTTGTTGCAATTGTTGTCCTTTTATCTTCCTCAGACGCCTGTACCTACCACCCTGGTGTCCCTGTCTTCCACGACGCCTTGAAGGTGTGTTGGTTGTCACCTCTGAGAGTCTGTGTTGCTGAGGCATGATCCCAGTCCTAATCTGTAGTTGTCTTCTCCTTTAAAGTAATTTCTTTCCTTTGTTTAGGGGTGGTCTTGCTGTAAAAGACGGACAACCGACTTCTCTGATTTTTTAAGCATCGCAGTAAGTGCCTGATTGACTGTGAATATGTTTAACGGGATTTCTTGTGACAGAACATTTGAGTTCTGGAACTATTACATGCTCCTCGTCCTTTCCTATAAAGACCTTTGAATGGGCTTTTTTAGACTTTAAGAATAGGGTCTTATAAACTTATAAGATCCCTTAAGTAAGTTCAGCTATGGTATAAATTTTTTTCTGTGCTTGTTTTCAGGGCTGTACCAAAGGACCACACAATAAGGAGAAGCCCCCTGAGCCAGTAAAACCTGATGTTAAGACCTCAGGGGAGAAAAAGGACCTGGAGGACCTAAAACCAAAATTTGATGAATATGTCATTCAGGCACCCAAACCGCTGGAGTCCATCAGTCGTCCGAGGTGCGTGGTTCTGTACTTCACTGCTGTGCTGGGATTAGGTTTCTAAAGGGATGGTCAATTTCTGCAAACTTTCCAGACTCTTTCCATTATATGGGAAGTTAAGATGGGGAATTTTGGAAATATTCAAATAGAATCAAAATGATTACATAGATTTATGCTTATAACCTTCTGCTCTGTCTGCACATTACTTAAAACGTTTGATAATACTAATTGTATTGTGAATATTTTTCTGTTTTAGCCCGGATGAGCCCTTCGTAAGGTTACAACAAAAGGTGGCATCCTCGCTGAAACAATCTTTGGAAAATCTAAAGCTAACAGAAGCCAATGAGCCGGATAAAACTGGTAGGGGCTGTAATTTAATCAGAATTACCATTTCATATATTAGTGAAGTAAAATTTTCTGATTAAAATGTTTGTTTTTTTTAGAGGAAGAAGGAGATGAAATTAAGGTTGGAACATCATGTAAAAATGGAGGCTGTTCAAAGGTTTGTTTCATTGGGTTATCAGTTACATTTCTGGAGGTGGTGCGTGTTCAGATGTTATGCTGTAGAGTCATTGGACAAATGATTGTGAAATGAAGTGTAGTATCGTATCTTCACAGAATGACGTGTGTTGAACGTCTTTCATTTTATAATGTTGCAGACATTCTCTGGCCCGGAAGGCAGTGAGGATGTGTGCCTGTTTCACCCAGGGGTGCCCATTTTTCATGAAGGGTAATGCCTTTCCCCAGTGATCGGGGGTGTAGGGACAGCACCTTCCGCAGGTGTTCATGTGAAAATTCTTTGCATCTTCAGGATGAAGTACTGGAGCTGCTGCAAACGGAAGACCTCAGACTTCAACACGTTTCTGTCCCAAGAGGGCTGCACTAAGGGGACACACCTGTGGAAGAAGCAGGATACTGTAAGTGTGTCCTTGTTTGCATACTAAATCCCCCTCCTAGTCTGGCTCTCTCTTACGTGACTTCAGCAAACCCAGGCGTTAGTAATGGATTTTGTGCCGTAAAAGTGATTTTTCCGTCCCTAGGATTACTGTAAATGCTCAAAACTCATTTCAAATTTCTACTGGTGTTGTGCTGTGAGCTTGTGCAATTTAATGGCACCTTGCTGTTGTCAAGTAGAACTGTTATTATTACCACAGGCCTGATCATAGTGAGTGTCACATGTCATGTGGCGTATCAAGGGCCAATGAAATCTCTGTTTATCTTTGAAGGGGAAGAAGGTGGTGCCGTGTCGATTTGACTGGCATCAGACAGGGGGCCAAGTGATAATCTCTGTGTATGCCAGAAACTCCAATCCAGAGATCAGCCGCGTGGAGGCTAATAGTACCGTGGTAAGTCTGACAGCCTGGGGGTGTCTGTTCTCCTGAACGTTTTTTGTGTTTAATCTGAAACATTCTCTGCTATCTCCCCCCCGCAAAAAAATATAAATAAAAATATAACAGCTGAAGATCCACATTATATTTGAAGGTGACAAGGAATTTGAACAACAAATCAGCTTGTGGGGTGTAAGTACTTCATCTTGTAGTTTCAAGTTGGCTCCTTGCTGGTATGTTATATGATGGCAGATATCATACACTGTGGCTGTTGTAGATTGGTCTCAATACTACCAGTTAGTCAGAACTTAATTTACCATTTTGTGTGAACTGGAATTGCTGCATTGCTCACCACTCTCATCCGCTTTGTTTTCTGTGCCAGGTGATCGATGTAACTAGGAGTGTCATGAACATGATGGCATCTAAGATCGAGATCGCCATGAAGAAAGCAGAGCCCATGTCATGGGCCCGCCTGGACCTGCCTCCGGTGACGAACCCACCTCCGGGCAAAGAGATGGATGGCTGAGAATGCCGCACGAGGCCGAAGAACGACCGCGACGACACCACCAGGACCATCCCCAGCACCTCAATAATCCTGCTTTCTCGCATACTGTACCGTCTCTGAACGAAGGATTCCAGCTGTCACCGGCTGGCATCTGTTTCTGTAGGCCTCTTGCCAAACGGGACCCCCAGCTGTAATTCTCACATACTCCTGTTTTCTGTATGGCATTTATTTTTTTTTACTTGTATCAGTCATCTCAAAATCCCATCATACCTTGCAGTATTTTTAGTAAAACTGCACAGTCTGTCTTGGTGTCTCTGCTGTTGGAGTAGAAGTTAAGGATGAAGAGAGATGGCATGGTGACAGTGAGCATGCCTATTCACTGGCCTTTGCCAGTGGCTCACTGGTGGGACCACAGAATCTGCACACTGCAGCTGTACTGTTTCCAGTTACTACCTGTCAAAGAGAAGCATGGAGGCCTGTAGCTGTAGGAGTGTTTTGGTCGCTGCAAAGACGCATGGCAAATTTTTTGCATAGTTACAAAATGCTTCAACATACTGTATATTATTGGTTGTCCTGCCCTCTGTCTCATGCCTTGGCCTATTGCTTTTGTGACCTTGGATGTTTTACTGCTCTTTCAGTTTTTAAAGCAAAATTTTCCCTACAGCTCAAAGATTTTTTTCCTTTTGCCAATTGCATGTGTTTCTCAAGTGTTTGTTGTGTCCTGCTGGATACAGAGCTGATTAGGTAATTAGTAAAATTAATTATATTCCACTCTCAATCAGGCCAGATATCTGCAAGCGCTGCATCAGCCACCATTGATACATGTTTTTATGTTTTGTTGGGCTTGGACTCCAGGATGGTTTCCTTCTTTTCCATGAAAAGCCAGAGTCCCAGAGTGAATGAAGCTGAAGCTGAAGATGTGTAACCTGTATCTGCTTATAGCCAATTCTATCACCATGCTAAGTCATCAAATGTGTCTTGAGCAGGCGTGGCCTATCTTACCCAGATAGGGTAAGGATTGAGTTTGTGGGTTTTTGCCGCAACTCCCTAATTAGATTATTAATTAGAGGACTGATTAGCTGAAGAGTTCTCACACCTGGTTTTGAACAACTGACCCAAACCCAACCCCAAAAACCTGCACACACACTGGCCCTTTCTGGATAAGATTGGCCACCCCTGGTCTTGAGCAATATAACACACCTTGATGATGGAGCGCAGTGCAAAGACTGAAGGTAATGTTCTGCCTGGACGTTTTTATTGGCTTCACCTGTAAGTGGGTGCAGTACTACAAGTCTGCTTTGGTAATTGTGGAGGGGAAAAGAGTTTTATGTCTGGGTTTGATGTTCATGAAATGTTGACAATTTCCTTTGTGGTCTTTCCATCTATTCTGTCATAATTTAACCATGTTTGAATAAATTCTACTCAGATTTTATTAGGTTTCATAAAATATTTGCATTCAGGTTGAGTCAGAAGCAAGCAATTAGCATGGATGTTCTGGTGAATTTCTATGTACAGCCCTGTTTCCAAAAGAGGGACGCTGTGTGAAATGTATATAAAAATAGAATGCGATGATTTGCAAATCATATAAACCCATTTTAATTGAAAATAGAACAAATATTCAAATGTTGAAACGGACATTTTTATTGACAAATATGCTCAGTTTGATGCCAGCAACATGTTTCAAAAAAGCTGGGATGGGCAAGAAAAGACTGGAAAAGTTGTGTGACGTTATAAGAAAACGTCCGGTTGAATATCTCACAACTAATTAGGTTAATTGGCAACAGGTCAGTAAGATGATTGGGTATAAAAAGAGCCTCCCAGAGGGGCAGAGTTTCAGTGCAGAGAAGATGGGGAGAGGTTCACCGCTCTTTGCAGTGAAGATGGGGAGAGGTTCACCGCTCTGTGCAGTGAAGATGGGGAGAGGTTCACCGCTCTGTGAAAGACAGTGTAGGTAAAAATTGCAGCAATTAAAGGATAATGTTCCTCAATGTAATAGTGCAAACAATTTGGGACTTTCCTCATAGTATATTATATCATATAGTATATTATATCATGAAAAGGTTTTGAGGATCAGGAGAATTCTCCACGCTCAAGCGACAAGGCCAAAAACCAATATTTGATAGCTGTGTTCTGCCATGTACATGGACACTATCCAGTGACCTGAGACAAAGACTGGACTCCTTTGGTACTGTGTCTTGGTTAGGGGACCAAGCAGTAAATTCATGAGGATGCAAAGGGATTAATAATATAGAAGCAAGGGTTTATTACCCAGATAATAAAAACAACCAGAGTTGGGTAATTCGGGTCCAGACCAAGATTTTGTCAACCAGCCAGTTGAACATGGTTGACTACTCCCGGTCTGAATTACCCTACTCTGTAAACAACCAATATCAAATCATTCTACACTAATTTTACACTAACAAATTGGCCAAAAAGAAGGCGACAAACTTAATGAAACCTAATACGAATTAATACGCAAAAGAACGTGACTCCAACGAACGAAACTCAAAACTGCCTCTCCCTAACACAGACATAAGGGGATACGAATAACGACACGCCCGGGCCATTTACACGCACACAAGGCGGGGAACACACTTAAACATCTATAACATTAACCCACAAAATCCAACTCAAATAAAAAGCTCTCCTTTGCTTGGCAACCACTCAGGCTCTTCCAATCAGCTGCCCTCGCAGGTGCTCCTTGGCTCTCAGCCGTCAGTCACGCCCTTGTTTGCCGCGGGACAAGACCTCCCCAACCACTGGGTAACTCGGCAGAAAAATTTTATCACAACAAAAACAAATACCTTCATACTGTCCGCACGTGTGTACTCCATGACCGACAATATGAAGATAAGATAAACAAACAAACAAACAAACAAACAAATCAAACCTGCTGGATGATTATTTAGCTTAATATGCGACTGCAAATAACACTGCAAACAATCTAATGAAATGAAAGAGGGGGCAATGTAGAAAGACGCCCAGTGTGGCCTCAGGCATCACAGTCTCATTGGAGAATCCTTAAGTACTGCTCGTTTGACTGCTGAACAAGCGGTTGCTCAGGGAATGGGTCACATTACCTGCATCGTGAGGGAGTGTCAATTACAGCACTATGGCCATGTGGCGCGATTACCTGAGGAAGATCCGGCTCACGGGATCCTCATTGCTGAGGGCACGAGTGGCTGGACCAGGCCAAGGGGACGCCCACGTTAACACCTGGCTGCAGCAGATTGAGGGCCATTTCCAGAGGGTGGGATAAGCCCCCGTGGTGGCCTAGGGGGCCGCAAACTGAGGTATTTCGTCATGTGGTGAGCGTGACAGTGCACTGTACCAGTGCATGACCCCCATCTGACCTGACTTGTGATCAGCATGGCTCTGTAGCAGTGCGAGTGCTAGACGGGCCTGCCTGCAGTCCAGACCTTTGACCCATAGAAATCATTTGCTCATGAAACGAAAAATATGACAAAGGAGACCCTGAACTGTTGAACAGTTGGAATCCAAGAATCCATTTTCAAACCTCCAGTAACTGGTCTCCTCTGTTCCCAAACGTTTACAGATTGTTCTTAAAAGAAGAGGTGATGCAACACAGTGGTAAACATGCCCCTGGCCCGGGAACGTGGTGCTGGTATCAAATTCAAACTGAGCACCAAAAACATTTCTGTTTCAACATGTGATTTGTTGTCTTTGTTCTATTTTCAATTAAATACGGGTTTATATGTTTGCAAATCATTGCATTGTTTTTCATTTTACACAGCATCCCAACTTTTTTGGAAACGGGGTTGTAATTACAATGAATATAAAACTTAATAGAAAGGCTGCTTGTGCTGCTGCGTGTGTGAATCTGTCATCACCTTAAACGTGGGTCTTTGTTTACATAGAAAATGCAGCTCAGAAGACCAGTTTGTTTGTTTATGGGGGGGGGGGGGTCTTCAACTTAGATCTTTTCAGAAATCTGGTTCCTCATCCTCTTTGCTGCAAGATATGCTGATTGCTGGCACAGTGTTAATCAAAAGTCATTCTCTGTCCTGGATTATCTACTACAGCAAAAGATCTACTAGAGTCAGTAGGGATTTTACTGTGAAGTGAAGGCATTATACAGAGTGTAGTGAAATATACCCTTTCCTCCCACGGGGAGCACAACTTAAGTGATACTGAGGGGGGCCTGCCGTTGTTGGGGAATGCAGGTCTCTGGGGAGTGGGGTCTGCTTGTCATAGGGCCTTGGAATGCAGGTATTCTTCCCTCCTAGTATGGGGTCAGTGTGTTAAGCGGCGGGGGAGAGGGTGGCAGCTGCCGCATAAACAGTGAACGCTGCGATGCTGATCTGCCGTCTGACTTCCTCCCAAGCTTTTGCTGGGTCCTGGGCGTTCTGGATGTCAAACATGGCATCGTAAATCCCTGGGAAAGACTCCCCAGCGTATTTGTTATGGCTGCTCGGGGCAAATATGATGTGCCTGTCAAAAGAGAGGGAGAAGAACCACTAGCAGCAGGTCACTCGTACCGTGTCACAGCACATTACAATCTGCTGAAAAAGTCAGTGATTAATGAGGCTGCAGGAGTTGAAAGATAAGCATTTTTCACACTGTCAACATTATTAAACCAACCTAACAGGGTGACTTGGCGTTATACTGTACGTACCTATAGAAGGGTCTCCCAGGCAACCCCAGGGGGTCTACAAAGGCTCTCTCCAGGTACATCAGCTGGTCATTTGCCATTCTGACTTCCATTGAGCTGGGGGAACGAAGCGCAATTCAGCTCTGGTACCGTCCAAAGCCAGTATCATAAAAAAATGATCTATCAGTGCACTAACTTCGTCATGTCGATGTGCTTGAGGCGCTGGTGGAAGGCCTTGGCCGCTGCCGTGAAGTCCACTACGGCGGAGAAAAGAGCATCTGCACAGACAACGGGGATTTCAGTAAGCGTGCAGCACTTCAACACCCGTTCCTTTCAAACGGCAACATTGCGTTTGCTCCCCCACATGACAAAAGGACTTGAAATAGGAGCCGAGACACTTTAAATTTTTAAATTACGAAGAAGAGTTCTTGCATCTTTTTATCCATCCATCCATCCATCCATCCATCCTCCTGAGATATATCAGAATTTTTCTGCGTTAATTGTAATGAAGGTGCCACTGCGACTTCATGTAATAACGAAAAGAATGTAAAGGAAAAAATTACGTAAAAAGCAGGAAACAAACATGAGCATCCACATGACTGCACCTGGTGGGATTCGCAGTTTAGTGTGTTTTTTAGTTGGAAACTAATTAATGTTGCCATTTTTAAACATTCTCTTTGGCCTTTGGACTTTAGTGTTTTAAACTGATGGAGGAATCACATGACCAACATGGTTCAGCGATCATGCTGCCCCGACGTGGGCTGCTCACCAAAGAAGACCCCGTACTGGTCGAGGCTCTCCTGGTGCTTCTGCGCTAGCTGGAAGATGCTGCGGGCGTACTTGTCCAGGGCTTTGGCGTATTCGTTGCAATCCAGTGGGAGCAGCAGGGACTCAGCTAGCTGGAATACAAGGGCTCCTCTGACCCGTGCCACTGCAAGAAGCTTCCGGAAGGAGGGGTCGTAGAAGTGATCCACAAGCTCAAAGGTCTCGTACACGCTGTGGTATACTGGATAATTGCTGTACTTCTCTGTTTTCTGTCACACACACAAACACAGGCAGTATGTACAATAAAGAACAAATGAATGGCTGTATGACACAGGCCTTATCGGTATGGCTGTCACATGACCAATAGGTAACTGGGATCATGGCAACCTATAAATCTAGGTGACTGTTCTTCACCCCGTCTTTGGTGTATCTCGCCCTCCCGGACGCGATCCCCAGTCTTATGAAGTAGGCTTCAAAGTCGCTGCCAGAGCCAAGCTTGCTGATTCTGAAAAAGGGGAATTTAACATGGCGTGTGAGATGTCTGCAGACGTGACCCGTCACCCGTCACCCGTCACCCGTCACCCGTCACCTGTTTATTAAGCACCAGGCAAACTGTATTTTTACCTGGGCGCGTCTCTGTCATCTGTCCAGTTGTCCTTTTTGTGCCAGCTGTCGTACAGGGACACCCCCTCTTCATCTGGGCTGGCAATCTGAGCCGGGCACATCCCACAGCCTTTTTTAGTGCCATGGGACTAACTCCTAACTTGTAATATCACACGCTCGTTCAAAAGGTCATTTTTGTTATCTTCATACAAGCAAAGGGTATGTTGTCACGGCAACGTTGCCAGGGTACCTTCTTGGTGACGTCGTACACCAATGTATGAAGCGATGGCGTGCAGTCAACCCTCAGTGTGTACATGCCTGCAATTACGACAGCGGGAGTTGGCGGGGGCACTATGTCACGTGACTCTCGAGCGAACACTGGCGCCATCGCACTCCTATCACGTGTCTGCTCACCCTCGATTGCAGAGTCGGCATTAATGTAGGCCACTCCCCTTTCCTGCAGTGTTCTGGAATTTTCCTGACATCGAAGGGAACATCACAGAGAGATTAGGTGGAGGCCACAGTGCATTTCATATGCCGCACATTTTTGGAAAATAGCTAGTTAGGCGGGGCAAGGTCCAAACAGGCACGTCTGTGTCTTCCGGTACCTCGGCCCACTCGGTCGATCCCAGCAAACCAAACTCCTCTGCATCCCAGCTGGCAAATATGATGGTCCTCCGCGGTCTCCAGCCTGGGGTAATAAGGCATGCAAATCACACCCCCGAGATGATTCTCAAGGTCACACTGTACCTCACGATGGTTCACAAAGTCACAAAAACACAGCAGGCAGCTACTTCACCATAAATCAGCTAATTTACTGAGTAACAGCACGGGATTTATTCAGACCAGCCTCTGTTCTCCTCCCACGTACCATGCGCCATTAGCTTGCCAGCACTCCTTACGTTCTCATGGACCACTGCGGCGCCGGATGTGGGGTCGATTCCCCCAAACACCCACGAATCCCGGTGTCCACCCATGATGACGTACCTGTCTGGGAGATACGGGGGTACAGGCAGCTACAGTGGGATATATCCTGAGATACGGCCTGGATGTGGGGGGACCGTGTCGCTCCTGGGTGGAACTTTAGCTATTCATATTAAATTTAGTTAAATCATACTGCGAAATCCTTAGGGATTCCTTGTGACCCAAAAGACTAAAGGCGGATCATACCGGGCTCCACAGCCCCGCGGATTTTGCCGATGACATTGTAAATCCTCGTGACCTGGTGGTTTATGTGGATGTTCATCCTGACCTTGCTGTGGAGGAGAAGATATTAAATCATTAAAACAGCCTGTTACCATCTCAACAACCGCCCCCCTCCATCACCGCCATGTGCTGATGATGCATTTAATGAACATACAGTGTTATTGGCTGACGATGAAAAGAAGGATTATCTTTGTATTTCACATCCATCAGATTGAAGGACAGACTTTCCCCTCCAGGAGACAGGACATCCGTAACAGGGACAGGGAGTCCACAGTTATGTGGAGGAAAAGCAAGTACAGTAGCCAGAGACTCCCTTTCAGGACACCTAACGGCTATGACTCAGGTCCATAATGATACGACATTAATGACTCATGTTCCCACATGGAAAACAGACCCTCCTTCTTAAAGCTCAATAGCGTCCAGTGATCTGGACACTCTTTCTGTACTGGGACCACTGTAGCAGCTTTTTCTGCTGAACTTGGAAACCTGGAGATCACCTTTTTAAACATTTAATAAGTAACTGGTTTCCATAGTGACAGTAATAAGCTGACTTAAAAAGCAAAGCGGCTGACTGGATGGTTATTTTGCTGATACAGTGTTCAGGCTACCTGTGATGCACTATTCACATGCTACCTGTGATGCACTATTCACATGCTACCTGTGATGCACTATTCACATGCTACCTGTGATGCACTATTCACATGCTCCTGCTCCTCATATATCCTCATAAAGCAGCTTCCGGAATATTCGAGGTTAAAAAGGACAGCAGTCTGACACGGGTCAGCGATGTACTGTTTTAAAGGCAGCTTTTTTCCCCCACACTGGCTGAATCCTTCATTTGGAAAGACGTTCGTCAATAGCCTTTCTGGAGCAAAGACTTGGCCTTACTGTTTGTTGAACTCTGGAGTGAATCCTGGTCCAGTCTTGTAGGTGACATTGAGTGCCCCCTTCCAGTTATTAGGGGGAATCTGACCTCCCATATTCCTGCAACATGAAATATTTGGCTACAAACGGCAACCCTACCACACTACCCAAGAATTAAAGTCCATCTTTCTTCTGTTTCGGTACCAGATATTTACCAACAGCAACACAACACAATACAATAACAGCAAGAAAAGATGCGGCACCGTGACACATGTGGCTACAGGAGGGTGTATCAGATGTACCTGAGCAGACTGACTGCATCGTGGTAACCGATAGGATGCACGGGGATTTTCGGAAGGCCGGTTCCCTCTTGGATGCTGTACCTGTAGGTATAATCTGTGGAGAAATGGGAGCTGCAGCAGTGAAACATTGGCCTGCCAGCCGCAGCACTGAAGAACAAGCAGCTCAACATCCAGCCAGCATTTCTGCAAGGCCACAGTTTCACCTTTGGCAGGGTAGCCTGGGGTCAGGGGGTCCCCCGCTCCATTCAGGTTCAGCACATTCCCTCTCTGGGCCCCACCCCCTGGGAGGTTCCACCCGTCGGGGTAAACCTTCACCCCCGTGGCACAGTAGTCGGCCGGGTCAGAGAAGAGGATGATGCCCTTTGCCCCCGCTAGGATGGCATTCTTCACCTGCGGTAAAAATAAAAAAAATTTAAATGACAGCTATGGTATGTGTGTGGCTCAGTGAGTTAGGACACCTTCCCTGTGACCAGCGGGTGAACGGGTCAAATCACACAGCTGGTAGAGTGATTACACTATAGGCCCTTGAGCAAGGACTTGATCCTAAATGGTCCAGCGACTGTCTGACCCCTGCTCTCTCAGTACTGAAGAAAAGGTGACAGACACGAACACACAGTCCGCTTTAAAACAGAGCAGGCTACTCACCTTGTTGCCCCTGAAGATCTTGCCATATCTCGCTATGAGGATTTTCCCTGAGCAGTTGATTCCCATTTCACGCTCAAGCATAAAGAAGTCCTCTGTGCGTCCGTAGTTCACGTAGACCAAGTCGCCCTGTGGATGGTAAAGGATCAAAAGAATCACAGACCAAGGCTCAGAGGCCAGTGGGATGTTTCCCGGCTTGAGCGCCTCATCGCCAGGCTGCTGGCTTTGCATCTTTGAAACGCCGCCTATGTAAATGTTTCCGGAAAAGCGGTAGATGATGGATGGATGGATGTTAATTACTCCTGAAGATGCAACGTTCAACCAATTAACACAAAAATATGGTACAACTGCAGGGGGTCCTTTACACTAGTAGTGCGGATCAGGCCCAACTTCAGCTTCAGAGTATGGGGTGAGCTACAGGAACATCTGAGCTTATGACAGGATGACTGAGTGGGCCAAGCCCCCCCCCGCCCCCATCGAGCCGGGCCTTGTGCCAAATGTAATAAACTAAACTGTATGTGTGGCTGATCTTTTTAAGCACCTCAAAGGTTGATCAAATAGTATTAGAAAGCGTCTGCAGACTAAGTCAGCGGCCTCACCTCAGGCTGACCTTCAGCTGAGAAGGCATTGTAGGGGGGCACGATGTCAGAGATGTCCTCATATCCCTCTGGAACGGGCTCCGATAGGGAGGTGTTAACTATCTGAAAAGGTGTACACCAGTGTCACCTGCTAACGTAGTGATGACTGCACTTTACCGTAATCACCGCATTCGCACTGCACTGCTTGCTGATAATTATGGACTGTTAACAGTCTGGCGATTATAAAAGGACCTCAGCAAGGGCTTGGGAACGTGACTGCGGCCCCTGAGGTCACCGATCTGCGGGGAAGCTGACACAGTTGGTGTTTAGGCGTAATACAGCCGTTTGAAAACATTCCGCTGATGAGCGGAGGAGGGCCTGAGCGTGCTCCAATGCGGCACGGCCACAGATATGCAGGTTAGACTGGGCGCTGCATGTTCAAATAAACCCAGAAGGAACCACATGTTGATATGAATGTAAACATGGAAAATGATCAGACCTCAACAAGCAGGACCTGGGTTATGAAGTGACACTGTGTTTAGCTAAAGGATTTGACCCAGTAAAAAGGAAATTTGATGACTATGTCTAATTCTATAGGCAGTCCACAGGTTACGAGCAGGATCTGTTCCCTAAGTCTGTCTTCAAGTCGAATTTGAAAGTCAGAAAAATAATAATACAGCACACAATAATAATAATTATATGGCGATAATGAAGGTAACTACACAGGGTACTGTGCTGCACCTCCAGCCGATGATCCGCAGAGCCCACACAATGTTTTTACAAGCATCCACAGTAGTGACTGCGTCTGTCATTACAAACCGTTGTATTTAACCTGAATTGTTAATATAACAGGCTTTATGGCAGTCTGCTCGTGAGTATGAGTGGTCTGTAAGTTGGACATTCTTAACCACTTTCATTATCTATCTTCATTTTACAACTATGGACATTCTTGCTCTCTATTTTTACTCTGATTTTGCAGTCTTATTTTATTTTTATTGCTGTTTGTTATAGTAAAATGATTTATTCTTATCTATTTATAACATTTAATTTTTCTTTGTATGACGTTATTTCCTTAAAAGCACAATCCTGGATGGAGGTGGAAAAGCATCTCGCTGCACAGGTGTACAGGCTACAGCAGGGGTGGCCAATCTTATCCGCAAAGGGACGGTGTAGGTCAGCTGTTCAAACCCAGGTGTGAGGACTCTCCAGCCAATCAGTCCTCTAATTAGTAATCTAATTAGGGAGTTGCAGCGAAAACCCGCATACACACCGGCCCTTTGCGGATAAGATTGGCCGCCCCTGGTCTACAGTATATCTGTGTGTGTGACTAAAACAACCTGAAAGCTGAAGCTCGCCTGCTCTGCTCACTTTCACGCACGGTTAGAGGCCAGACTCACCTCATTCCCCGCTTGGTCTATGATGGAGATGTAACTGGGACTGGTCTTGTTGGGATAGGACAGGAGCACGTCGTAAGGCACAAGCTCCACCGAGTCCAGTCCAAACTGGAGCCACTCGTCTCGGATCTGCTGGGCCAGGTGGAGATTCTGCTGAGTTCCAGCCAGGTGAGGGAGACGTGTAAATTTCCTGAGGGAGGTAAGAATCAGGTGAACACCCACTGGTTCCCTCAGGTGAGACACACCGATTCAGCCTTTATGACTCAGATGTCATCTGTCCTGTCCCTGTTGAACCACAACGGTGTAAACATTTAGTGTGTAATAGCTACATTCCAAAGTTTTAAGGGTAAAATCAGTGAGTGGCACAATCAACCTGAGATGTTCTCTGATGTTTCTCGCCTGCATTTCATCCAGGAATGCTCGCAGTTTACTTGGGGGAGTTTCACCCAAGTTGGTGTCTGTTGGTCTGGTAAACCAGCCTGGAATAGTCCAATAGCACCAGTTAAATCACTGGCACTGGAAACTCACTGCTCATGGTAATTTCACCAATGTGAAGACTTACATCTACAATCATGGAAACATGCATCACAGTCATAAATCTGATTGCCTAAGGCACAGCCTACTGGACTGGCTATCTGGACAGAAACATCAGATAATTATGTGAATTATGTCTCACAGTACAAAACTGTGCAGATAGGCTTCAGTTTAGTGCTATCTGGGGCCGACTAATTATTAACTGAACCCAAAAGTTGGACCAAAATCATAAACAACAGGCCTGCAAATTTCTACAAAACTTAAAGTTTTAGTCGTCATTTGCATTTTGAGAGACACAGTAGTACTGCAGAAACAGACCTGTCCAACAGCATTCTTTGAAAAGGTCAAGGAATCATTTTCAATTCTTGCTGAATTTATTAATGTTTACTCTTTATATCACGGTCTAATTTCTGCTAGCTGTCATAACGAATACAGCGATGCAGGCGCGTGACACCCTGACGCCGCGGGTCCGTGTGTTCCCGAAACGCCTGTTTTGCCGTCCGTTCCGGAACTGCCAGTCTTCGGCACTTCGGCTAGTGTGGCATTCATTGCCATTGCGATCTTAGATGCATTCATCTGTAATCATACTTGTGCAACACAGTAACACCACTTAAATAGCAATAACTATATTTCATATAGAATAAACTATATTTCAGTACAATAAAGCTCACCTATTATAAAGCCAAGTAAGAAGAACGTCGCAAAAACACCGAAGCAGCAGATCCATCTGAAAAATTTGGTGTTCAAAAAGCCCATTTCCCAGCGAAATCCAACTCAGTTACTGTCCCCAAGAAAGAGCCTACGCGTGATTAACGTGCATGCGGGAATGAGAAGAAGGGAAACTCATCGGGAAATCCTGAAGGACGGAGGCACGGGTGAGAGATCGAGAGAGAGAGAGGCAGACAGAGAGAGAGAGAGCGAGAGAGAGAGAGAGAGAGAGAGAATGAGGGGCGGTGGGTGGGGGGAATAAAAGAGAGTGTGGGGCAGGGGAGTTTCTAGCTATTGAAAAGATCCGCGGCTAAGTCAAGTTTACCTGACGCTTGACTTTCTTGTTTTCGAAGGAACATGGGGGGGTGGGGGGTACAGCTCCGATTGATCGGACATAACGACGTCCATGGTGGAAGGTTTGACTGGGACCCGGATTGGCTCGAAGCTGAGGAAGGTGTCCATGCATAATTGCATGGGACCCCGATCGCGATCATATTTCTATTTGGGTTCCTGCTTTATATAACTTCACATGGTGGATGAAACCAACCGGCCATCTACCGCCCGAATGAATAGGGGGCTCAGTGCTCTGCTCCGGACGGGTACACAGTCATTTAAAATAGGGGTTCCCAGCCTTTTGATGGCCGCGGACCGGTTTACGTTGTACAAAACTCTCACGGACCGGTAAAACGGCCGAGGAGAGGACAGGGGGTGGAGTACAGGCAGAACAGGATTTCACAAGTTGAACTCTATTCATTTTTGAGATGCGCACAGAACGCATGAATGTGAGGGGTCGTAAAAATGAAAATATATAACTTTTATTTTTGGAAATTAACCAACCACAATCTTTGGCAGGAGCCCCAGCGCTCCACGGCCCAGTGGAATACTGGCCATGTAGGTACGGGTACATGTCTGCGGACCGGGACTTGGGGACACATAATATAAAGCACTGTAATGTGTTTCCCGAACTCTCCGCCTGAGGGCGCTGATGTCCCGCAGATGTAGCTAAACTCTCCCACAGAGGACACCGACTTGGGATACGAGAAGTTCAGTGTGGGAAAATTTGTTCCCCCACCCCTCCCATTTTTCATTCTTTATTTACCCTCCAGTTTAAATGGAAGCGTTATCGTTTGTAAGTACGAAAATCCATACAAGTGTAGACGTGGTGGATTGCTACAAAAACATGTCACTCTCCTGACTGTTATGTTGACAATACGTTGTAAAAAAAAAAGTTACTGTGCATGATTAACTCGAAAGGGAATTTTACCTCATTTCTTCCTTTACTCATCAAGTGAGCGTTTAATTAATTTTCTTACTTGACGTTAGATCAATACGCAGACTAGCTAAACAAACTTTATCTCATATGTATGACATTAACAGAATTATACCCATATCTGTTGACTCGTTCAAGACACTGACTAACTTCATGCAACATATGTGTAACTGTGTAACCTGATTATTTATCCTGAAGTGGATGTATTTTAGTCAGTTACGTTAGTCATTTACCTAGTCATAACTCCCTGCCTGACTTAACGTAAATGAATGAGAGAATTTGTTTTTCATTCTGCTCCAGAATCAGCTTTCAGCATATTGGGTTCGCATGATTAAAACCAGCAAACCCAGCTCCTCTCTCTCTGCCTCCCCGTTTCTCTCCCCCGTCCACTCAGCCTGCTCTGGCACAGTCGGCTAGGTTATTTCAGACACAAAGCTGATACACCAAATGGTTATTCAGTTTTAGGGAACAGCCCGACTGGAAACCCTGTGAGTCGTTCAAACTTTTATTTCATTCGAACATCTTAAAAATATTATTTTGCATGTCTTACTATAATCAGCGAAATGCAACGTTAATACGTGTAGTCAGAAAATTTTAAGAGACGATTATCGGACTAGGAATTCTGTCTTCTCTTTTAATTGAACTATAATCAATTAGTGACGAATAAACAATCGGAAAAGTATTTATAAGGGGATCGATTACCATTCATGATATGCCTACTTGTCTCCGGATACTCTGACAATCCGGGTAAAACTCCCTTAATCGGTGTACTGCTCTGAATAGCGGGAGATGCTCATTTCCGGAGCAGTCGGTCTGGACACTGTCAGTCCTCGTTGTTACATTTAAAGCTGGAAAAATCGCATCGGCCGCTCGCTCCTGCTCAACTGAACCAAATAAAACAAATATATATTTTCATGGAACTAGTAGGGGATTAGTCGGAAGTACTTAACATGCGCGAATCAAAGATCAAAGAATAAGAAAAACAAGACTGCCCCTAAGGAAGATTAAGGGTCCTTTTTGAAGTGTACAGAGTGGGAGTCCCCCGCCCCTCCAAAGAGGAAAATCCCGCTTGACAAACCCTGCTCGCTAAAATATGCCTTTGTCCTGGAGGAGCTGGATCGCAAACGAAGGCAGCAAGCACTTTATCCTGGTAAGCAGATACCCTGTGCAGCTTCGTCCGGTACCGGGATTACCTGGGCAGTCTGTCACCGCAGACACTGTAGGCTATATCGCTTTGTTTTGTGAACGGGCAGAAAGAAAAGTAGCCAGATATGCAAGTTATAAGGTACAATGTCTATTTTTAAATTTGAAGTATTCGTGTGGTTTGTTTCAGGTACTATGGCTGAGTACGAATATCGCACTGTTTTGGAAAACTTTTGTTTCATACTGCAGCGGTCCGCAGCATTATTATCTCCACAAGATGCTTGGGGTAAGGATCGTAGCCTTTTATTTGTATTGCTGTTTGATGCTAAAAACATGGATCGAGGCGCGTGTGAATGAATACAGGCAGAAATACATCACTCGGCGGTGAAGTCAATGCAAATGCGATCGCTTGTCACAAAAATGACACCAAGCGTCCGTTCCTTTCAATTAAAGGCATCTTTGTGCATTTGTAGTCACCCCCAAGCCTGAACAGAGTGTGTTGTAGACCTTTAAATGCGAGTCATTTATGTAATGAAAGTATTCAGACATGCTGGGAGCGCCTGTATCAGATCATGATCTTGAAAGACAAAGACAGGGAAGCCAACTTCTACCACCAGGTCAGGCTCTGCCAAAGTTTTCAACTCTTCTGCGTTTTAAGGATGTTTTTGCTGCCCTGAGGTAATGGTATGGACAAGTTAATGCATGCCTGGTTTCATCACATGGCCATAAATTAGCACAGTAATAAGGCATGGGTCTCATTTTTGTCTGAACTACTGTTCACCGTCTTGTGTATCTGGCTATATGAAACGATCTTATTTCTCAGGAACTTCTGTTATCTGATTTTGTAGTATTTAAGCCAGCAGATACAAATGTGTTTCTGCCTGTTTTCATTTTCAGATGTTAGATTATTGAATGAAAGGGATTAAATGTGCGCTTTGGGTCAGGACTATGGGTGTGTCTATCAGCTGAGAGTGTCTGCAGTGTCAGGTCAACCTGGAGATCTGTGAGTGTGTAACTGACCTCTGATATGTGTGTGTGGGTGTGTAACTGACCTCTGATATCTGTGAGTGTGTGTGTGAACACAGTGTAAGTAATTGACTCATCTCTGTGTAAGCTGTAGGTTTTGTTTATATTCCTGTGCCGTGTTCAGCTGGGGCCGTGTGTGACCCTTGCCCGCTCTCTCTCTCTCTGTGTTCAGTGGCCTGTGTGGGACCCTTGCCCTCTCTCTCTCTCCGTGTTCAGCTGGGCCTGTGCGTGAGCCATGCCCTCTCTCTCTCTGTGTTCAGGTGACCTGTGTGTGACCCTTGCCCCCTCTCTCTCTCTCCGTGTTCAGCTGGGCATGTGCGTGAGCTGTGCCCTCTCTCTCTCTCTCTGTGTTCAGGTGACCTGTGTGTGACCCTTGCCCCCTCTCTCTCTCCCTGTTCAGCTGGGCCTGTGCATGAGCCGTGCCTCAGCTGCTGTTTTGAACCTGAACTGCTGCTTAGTTCTCCTGCCTGTCTGCCGCTCATTGCTGGCTGGTCTCAGAGGCTTTCAGAAGGTAATGCTCCGCGGGGCGTGGGGGCGTGGGGGTTTACCCGGGTGGATGGGCAGGGTCCACCCCCTTAGTTTTACAGACAAAACATATTGTCTGATCGCAGTGTCACAAGTGATTCAGGGTCGGACTCTTATCTCGAAGGATGTGAACATGTACTTTCTGTTTATGTGCTGTGTACTCATACTGTCACTCATGGTACTTTTGGTCTGGTTGCTCATTGAATAAAGTCATAATGTTATGAATGTGCATCAGAAATAATGTCATGCCTAAAAATATCCAGTACAGCTTCCTTTCAGTTTGACTTCTAGGTTCATTTCCTGTTTCTCTCTCCCTTATTCGGTTTCTCTTTGTTTACGTCATGCCAGCTCAGGAATGTTCTGCACCTTAGGACGTGATTATTCTGATTCTTGTTTATAGCTTGTATCAGGTGCTCATCTCCTCACCACCCAAGCCTTTCGTACGGAATCCAGTAACTCACTCAACCACTGTGCGCTGCATTTAAAACACCACCCTGTTAGCGCGGATTCAGTGGAAGCCGGCCTATAACAGCGAGAGAACTGAATTTCAGGGTCCACTGGATGTTCTCAGAGAGAGTGCGGACAGTGAGCCATTCTCGCAGAAGACATTATCTCTGCTGAAGGTGTGTGAGAAGCTGGTGCAAACAACCGCTCTGGCGCAAGAGACTTTCCAGAAGGCTCTCCCAGAATCAGTCAGAAGCAAAAACAAAATGGAAGTGGAACTGATAAGTGCACAAAAAATAACGCAAATGCATTTGTAAAACTTCACTAAACGCAAATATTTTCAGCATCCAAATTAATGCTTTGTGTAACGCTTCCATCTTTAAGCAGATGTTATTTGTAAAATGAAAGACATTGTAGATACCGAGGCGGTAAGCATGAGTGGCACGACAGCGGCCAAATTCAGTTTTCATTACGTTGTTATACATTGGCTTTCACTGAATCAGTGCCATCGCAGATCAGTCTGTGGCATTTCCCTAGTTCAGTCATCCCTAGTTCCTGCAAAACCTTCAGTTTCTCTTTGAGGATTGGCTGCAGGTATTCGGGCACTCTGTAGGACAGCCGACTTTCTGGCTGTGGGTCCTTCAGGTGCATATGATGCTCCACCTGCTCTGTCCGTCTTGGTCTCATTACAGTTCATTGGTTGGGGTCATACATAGAACTGATTTGTGGCATATGCTGGTTTTTAGGTAGCTTTTGTTTTCACTTTGGGCTTTTGAACCTTAGCTCTTGAAGTGTCCTGAATCCCGTGGCTGTGACCATTTCCACAGGTGACGAGTAGGAAGGCCAGGAGGATCTTGGACAAAAGAAAGACCTTCCATATGGCATGTGGCATTGCCATTGGCCTCTTCTCAGGTAAGAAAGCTGTTGTATGAGTCTTTTTGTCAAGAGGGTGGAAGTTCATGTGCTTGAGAGTCATGCCCACTGCATGAGCACTGGGGGGCCTTCAGCTGTCACATTCCCTCAGCACTGCCTGGCAGATGGGGGGGTGTTGGTGTAGATTTCCCGGCCACCATCCTTCCTGATCTGGAAAGAGAGAGATGGGGTATGAGGGAGGATCTTCCAGCTGTTTTTATTGGTAACTCGCTACGAGATTATCTGTTCAATTGGGTTCCCACAGTTCCACCCCTCCACCCATGTTCCCATTCTCCCCCTCCCATTCTGATCTGAACAAGCCTTAATGGAAGAAGCCTGTTTCCTGACCTTCTGTCCAGTTTGGTCACATTCCCAGGATTGGAGACTTCCAGTTACGTAGATAGTTACAGAAGAAGGAAAATTTGGGGTTGGGCAGGGTGGGGTTTTGCCGCAGAGGTCATCATAGGGAGGCTGCTGGTCCAGAAATCTTCTCAGGGATGAAGCAGTGTGATGTCACCCCACTGAAGCCGTGTGGGTCTGTCTGGGGAGGCACTGGGGGAACTGGCTGATGTTTTGACAGACGTATGGATGCGTCGACATTGGAGTGCTGTCAGGTGGGTGTATGGAAGCGGGTCTGAGCGCTTTGCTGGTGTCCCCTGCAGAGAAAGCGGACAGGGCACTGCCAGTAATACCAGCCATGTTGGCTTGTTTTTCAAACCCCTCTCTCCGTTCCAGTCATCCATGTCTCCGCTCATCTCGCCAACGTGTACAGCTTCTCTGCCTGGTACTCCGACGAGTTCCCCGCCCTCAATCTGGCGCGCCACCGGGGAGAGGTATGAACTCCAGCGCCTTAACTGGCGCTGATCGGAAGGCTTACTCGGAGTGAAGCCGGACACCTCGTGCTTAAACACCTTTCCTTCTTCTGTATTGTACAGGATCCAAGGATCATCATGTTCACGACCGGTGAGACCTGCTATGCACGTGCACACACGCACACACACACACACACACACACACACACACACACACACACACACACAGACTCGCACCCTTTTAGGGAGGGTTTCTCTCTGTTCGCAGGTAGCAGGGCTGTAGCTGGTAAGCATGCTAATGTTTCTTTCCCCTCTCCCATGTCTGTCCATGTCTGTCCATGTCTGTCCGTGTCTGTCCGTGTCTGTCCGTGTCTGTCCGTGTCTGTCCGTGTCTGGTCGTGTCTGCTGGCAGTCCCCGGGGCCACCGGCGTCCTCCTGGTTCTCGTGCTCTTCTTGATGTTCACCGCTTCGTCATACAGCATGAGGTATGGCATAAAAACGTCATGTAAGCTTTCGTATTTATGACATCTGGAAGCCATGGTCTCCCCTCATAAAGATTGATCAGAATAAGGCAATCTATGGAGTGCACGTCACCACACTTGGTGTCCTGTATGTCGATTAAACACTCCTATATCTTCTCGAGATGGTTGCTCTGTGCCTCTTTGATGGAGTCTTATTGAGGCTCTGTAGCCTTGGGGCGGCGGGGGGTGTCAACACGAAACTCTCTGACAAAAAACCACGTCAGGTCAACCTGCCTGTTAAGAAGCCCAGTATCCCTGTGTTCAATGTCCACTCTTCCCATTTAATTCACTAAAGTACAGGATGGCTGCCTTGCATTTTGTCTGCCGGTATTCATTTGACTTGATTTGCATAGAAAACAAAATTCACCAACATCACGTCAGTTCTGTAGGCTAAAGTGAGCCTCTGACTGGGAACTGGTTTGGGGTGCCTCTTCGCTGGGGCACCTCCCAGTGCTGTAAACTTTCTCTGCCTCGCTCCTTCCCTGTAGGGTTTCTCACTATGACATATTCTGGTACACCCATAACCTGTCCATCGTCTTCTACGTCTTACTGCTCGTCCACGTTATTGGGTGAGATGCCGTTGCTACTTGATCATTGGTCAGCGGAGCGTCTTGGTCGTCCAGTGGGTAGTTTATCGTCACTGTCCCATGTCTTCAGCGGGGTCCTGAAATATCAGACCAACGTGGAGCATCATCCCCCAGACTGCTTCAGGCCCAACAGGACTGCCCCAGGGGGGCAGAATTCGGGGTTTGTAAACTCCAGCCAGGTGGATGGTCTCAGCAAAGTGTGCAGAGAGGAGCCCCAGTTCCAGGCCCACTTTCCCGAGGTCAGTCTATGGGGCGGTGGGGGGGGGGGTACTGAGCATCCCGTCTTCAGAGTTTCTCTGTCTTCCCTTCTTCCATTCCTGCAGCGGTTCTCTGTCGAACCACCCGGCGTGGCTAGTTATGCCCGATCCCTACGCAACAAGCACATCCCTCTGTGTTGGGCTACAGGCCTCAGAGGGTCCATCTATCTGTTCATCAACCAGCTCACGGATCTCTTGTGCTTTTTGTTAGCGTATGGGTAACTAATTGGGATATCAAGTATGATGGAGGGATGAATCCTTCCCAGCAGAAGGGGAGTCTGTTTTCACTGGAAACCGATAATTAACATGAGTTGTATTTGTGTGCAGCAGACGTGTCAGTCGTCTTGTATATTGCATCCTCCAGATGTGTGTTTCAGGAGTTTCACTGCTGCCCTGTTCATGTTACTCTGCATTCTGTCTCCCACAGACGTGGCTGTGGGTCTCTGGGCCGCTCTGCTTGTACTGCGCTGAGCGGCTGTACCGCTATATGCGCGGCTGCAGGCCCGTGACCGTCGCATCCGTCGTCAGACACCCCTGCCGCGTGGTGGAGGTACACATGCAGAAGAGCGGCTTCAGGGCGCGGCCCGGACAGGTGAGCGGCGCAGCAGGTCCTCCTGATGGGCCTGAGTTTGTGTCCCTTTTGCTATGAGAGTGTGTCCATAAGCACTTGTCTTGTTCCTTTCCAGTACATTGTCCTAAACTGCCCCCACGTGTCCTCATTTGAAAGCCACCCCTTCACTCTGACCACGGTAAGTGCACTTTTAGTCTATTTTTTTCACCTTTCCTCCGGACAAATCAGTGTTCTGTTTTTGGTAACACTTTACGTAAAGCACTCATGTATCATGCATTATGGATGCCTTTCATAATGGTTTAAAATGCATTCATAATGTGTTATAAATATGGCTATAACTATTTATAAAATAGACATAACACAATTTATCCATGTTTATTATGCATCATGAATGCTCAATGAATCCCTCCTCTATAAGGCACTATAAATACCTTCATAATGCATTATAATAGCTTATACTGACCTTTATAATGCATTATGATGACTACTTTAAATAAAGTGTTCCCCTGTTTTTTTCTGATCTGGGGAATTTAATTTTCTTCCTGAATTTGTCCTTCACTCTACACGCTCCTTGAAGATGAGTGTCCTCTCAAAGCAGGAGATGTGGCTCATCAGGAACCAGTGGAACAGCTTATTTAGTGAACACTGTGAGGAAACATAATTCGACAGGATGACGACATGGTTCAGGGATTGGTGGTACAGGCCTTCCTCAGAGATTGGTGGTACAGGCCTGCCTCAAATTAACAGTGCAGTAACATTCCTGAATGCTCAAGTCAGCCGTAGAAGACGGCCTGCCCTCAGGCAGTTCTTTTCAGGAAGCAGATGGGGAGGGGGGTCTGTTTTGAAAGTTGCCTGGTGAGGCATTGTCTTCGACAGAAGAAAGCTAAACGTAGATACTGGATCTGGTCCCAGTGACCAGACATCCAAATGGAGATACCAGTTTTGGTCTGAACTTGCTCTTAACCTGGTGCTCCTGAGACTGGCAGTCCATTGTCCTGGTGACGTAGGTGCAAGTAATCTATGGTCCTGGAGTGTGAGGGGTCACCTTTCTGAATCATCAGCAAGCTCTTGGTTGTGTAATTGAAGTCTGAGTTTCTGCAAGTTGCCAATTTAAAAATGTAAACTCTAGGCCTCGGAGACTGGAGAGGTTCAGGAAAAACATTTTCCTGCTGGAAACTGTACTGGAACCAGTTATCACAGGATGTGACTGTACTAGTTGTCTCTCAGTTCCTGCACATAGGTCTGAGGAACCTCAAACTAAAACAGGATCTCTTGGATTTCAGTGAGTCCCGCTGGACACTGTTGTACTGAATGGCCGGTGAATCTCATGTGAAATTTAATGGATTTTATTATGAGAAAGATGTTTGTCGTCGCTGTTGTTCTGGGTTTGTTAATCCCTGCAGGATATTACACCATCGATTTATATATATTGGGTTCATTAGAAAAGCAAGAAAAACTCCCTCTTGCCCCCCCCCCCCCTCTCACCCCTGCCCCCACCCCAGTCTATCTGGTTGGCTGATTGTGTTACTGCCCCCCAGGCTGCTGTCTGCTTTGTCTCGACTCACCCCTCCCCTTCCAAAAAATGGCAGACTCTGTCACACCCCCACAGCTGGTCGGATAATGCGTTGAACAGCTGTCTGTGTTTCCTGTGAGGAGACCATCAGTATCAAAAGCAAACATGCGGTTATTTCGATGTAATTTGTGTCGATTTTGAAATATTTATACCATCTATGTTCTGTAAGCAGTATTTCCATTGTGATTTTATATAAGAATGTACCAATATGTCATTGTCATGTACCCCAGAGTAACACAGCCACCTTCCTGCTTGTTTTGTTGGTCTTGGGGGTCCTATGATATGGTCCTTGCCCTGAGCATTTCAGTTTCCCAGCTGGAGATACGTTCAGCTGGTCCAGACTTATTGTTCCCATAATGTTTGCTGTATTTTGTAACCCCCCCCCCGTGCCAGGCTCTGAGTCACCTCTAGTTTGTCTTGGGTTTTCAGTGTCCAACAGAGAGAAATGCAACGTTTGGCATCCACCTGCGCGTGCTAGGAGACTGGACTGGTAGGCCTGTCCACGTGGGGGGGCAGGGGGGGAGGCTCTCATTTTGTGTTTAGCATTTAAGCACAGCTGTTGGAAGTTGAATGATGTAATCCACCATCAGAATGTTTACAATGCACCCATATGGAGCTCAAATGCAACACCCAGGAGGCTTCAATGAACTGTGTTTTTTTTATCTCAGGCACTCTACTGACTTTAATGTTTAATATTTACAACTCGCGGCACTGGCGTTGCCTCTCCTCTAGGTGGCGCTCTATGTACTTCACTCATTTTAAAGGGGCGATAGTGAAATAATGGGGTAAACCGGGGGATTCTGAAATATTCACTGTCTGTTTACTCCCCAGAACGCTTCACAGACCTGCTGCTTGCTGAGCCCGAGGTCGGTGCGGAGATCCTTCCAGTGGCCCTCCAGAGGAGGTACCCCCGGTGAGCCCAGCTCTCTTCTGTGTGTCGATGGCAGGGATTGAGGTCCAAGCAGAGACTGGTAGGGGGAGGCGGGGAGCCCTAGAGACGGAGGGGACTGACTGGCTGCTGATGCCTGGGGGCAAACGGGCCACAAAGGAGGAGCTTTTCCAGTGGCCGCCCGTGTGGCTGGAGCACGGCCCAGACAGCCTGCTGGTTCTGGATGGTCACTGAGGGGTGACCTCCTGTCTGAGAGGGGAGGCTGTATGTGTTTGTGTGCGTGAGTAATGGCGCTAACTCTGTCTCTGCTATTTCTTTGTCTTATTTTGCCTGTTAGGCTTCCCTCAGATCTTACATCAAACCCGATCAGTTAATGTCCCCTGTGACTTTTTGGTCTTGTTATAAAATTCTGTCCAATTGCAGCTGCTCCACATTGATGCCGTCACTCTATAGTGCCGGCCAAGCCTTGGGTGGTGAAACCTTTGTTTGAGCTGCGTTTCTCCCCCCAAGTTAAGAATAATGCAAACCTGAATGATGGGGGTCAGACTTTCCCCCGATCGTTGTGTCACGCCACTGGAACTCCCCTGACATGTCACGCTGACTGGTCCGTCCAGCCCAATTAAAGGTCGTGACCGTGTCTGGTTTTCCCGCCAGGGTGTACGTTGACGGACCGTTTGGGAGCCCCTCAGAGGACGTCTTTAACTACGAGGTCAGCGTGTGCGTGGCGGGTGGGATTGGAGTCACACCGTTTGCGTCGGTGCTTCAGGCACTGCTGTAAGTTCGGGGGGAGGCCGGTTCTGCTGACAAAATGAAATATTAGCAATACTTTAATATCCAGGCTAAGTTTAATTACAAAGGCAGTGCTGCCTCATATATTCCAGATGTTTTCTCCAGTGATCTGGTTCTGCACTGTGTGTGATGATGATGTTATATATGCTGCGCATGTATGAATTAGCTCCTTCCTATCGGGGCTGATTTTAGGGACGACTGGCAGCATCACAAGCTGAGGAGGCTCTACTTCATCTGGGTCTGCAGGGAGCTCCAGTCCTTCCGCTGGTTTGCGGAGCTGCTCTGTTCCCTCCATCAAAAGGTCAGAGGGCGCACATGTACCTGTCCATGGGGCCTGGGATTACATGGAGTCCAGGGCTTCTCTGTGTTGCACTGGTACAGAGTGTGTGGCGCCACCTAGTGGTTATCATGAAGAGAAGCATGTGGTGCTTTGCAGTTACTGTACCATAGCATACTGAGTACATCAAAATATAGTTATGTCATTCATGAATAACAGATTGTGGTTATGTCTCTGCCTCCATATAGTTGTGCTGTTCTATACCATTTACAATTTTGGGGTAAAAGCTTAACAAATGGATATTTATTCTTGAATGGTTGACCATCTCACCAGAGCACCATCTCGCGGTTGTAAACACTCTTAAGCAGGATGGAGGTGCCTGAACGGGCTTAACCCCTATGTGCTTGGTGTACCTACGCTGTGTAAGTGGGAGGGTGTTTTTTCCCTTCCCTGACTCTGTAAGGTCTTTCTTAAACCTTCCTCTCATTGCACCAGACAGCCTTTGCATGTAACAGAGCGGCGCATTGCGAGTTGCCATAGAAGCAGACACACAGGCATGGCTAATATCCCGCAGACCCTGCATCCATACTCATACTTATTGTGAGGATGTGTTGAACGTCCCACACGATGGAAGACGTAGGCCTCGCCAGGAAGGGCGAGTCCGAGGCACGGTCAGGTTCAGCCCCCCCCTACACATTTACGTGTCTCTTATTTCTTTGCTTGTTTGCTGTACAGCTTTGGCAGGAGAATCGCCCAGACTACCTCAACATCAGGCTATACGTCAGCAAGGAAAGGGGTCTACAGGTATGTGTGGGACGGTCTGCTCCGCACCCAGTGATAAATATTTCCATCCTCGGGATGGACCTTTGGAGTAGAGAAGAAGCACTTTCACTTTTATGGTCGAGTACATAACTGACGTGGCTTAAATCAAACTCAAATGAAAATACTCAGTCCAGCTTAGCTGGTGATGGGATGACTCCATAAAAGACCGATCTAACCAGGCGGGTGCCCAGGGGGGGTCACAGTCAGTGTGGACCTGCATCTATCACTTAAATACGGTCTTTACATAGACTTTTAATAATGATATTTGACTTGTCAGTAAAATGTCTTACTGATGATGGTACGGCTTTGCCTATTTCTGAATATTTGGTGTGTTCAGGCTTCATGTTGTGCGGCTGAATCAGCTTCCAGTTGTTTTGTCTGGCCCTCCTGGCAAATTAGCCTGGATGAGTTTATTGTTCTCCGACTTCATTGTTCACAGCCCTGGAGAGGAATGTTCTGATAGCCGCCTCCTGCTTCAAGGGCATCTGGAAAAGAGGCTAATTCATTTTCCTGCTTTTTGACTCAATGCTTGATAAAAACCTACAAAAAAAATGCGTCCTGCATGTGAAAAGGGTGCCAGCTGTTTACGCAGAATTAATCAGCGTCATACTGGGGTCTGTTCCAGGAAGTCTTTTTCTGTGGAGTCATAATCAGACTTTTACATTTGCACATGTGAAGGTCTCTCGTGTTAGTACACAGGTGTTTTTTCACATCTACCTACAGTATGTATCATTGCTAATGGTCTTTTACCATGTGATGGCACTGTTTTTCTGTCCCTACAGTGTATATACACACACACATACACACACACATATATATATATATATATATAATATGTATTTTTTTTTTATTAATCTTCCAGAGTCTATCAGAGGGGCGTTACCAGGTACTGAGTGCTAGGCTTCTGATTGGACGACCCAGATGGGAAATGCTCTTTGAAGAGATTGGGAGAGCCAATAAGCAGTGAGTAGGGTGGGATGCCTCTGACCGACCACTGTCTCCTTCATATGAGTTTGGAAGTTCTGTAAAGGGGCCCCTCCTGCTTGGCTGCGAGTGGAGCCCTCAGAGAACCGCTCCAGAGAACTGCTCCAGAGAACCGCTCCATTCCGAGTGATCCCAGGGTCCCATGGACCTGTCCGGCTGACATGTCCCCTCTCTCACTTCCAGGAAACGTGTCGGTGTTTTCTGCTCTGGACCCAAAGGACTGTCCACGACTCTCCACAAAATGTGCAATTCCAATCATTTTGGAGCTACATTTGAGTATAACAAGGAATCTTTTAGCTGAGACCCCCTGAGTGTGACGACGACATGGGACCTTAACAAGGTGCAATACATCTGCAATGAGGAAAGCCAGAGACCTTAAGCACTGGAGGAAGGTGACTGTCTGCTGTGAGGAGGGGGCCTCACCGTGCAGAGAGAAACCAGCGTCAGACTGGGTGCATTCAGGGTCAATGGGAAGCAGTCAGAAAAGCAGATTCATTTTGTTTTTAAGTCAAAATAATGACAATTAATATTATTATGATAAATATTATTATTATTTCTTTTATTTTTCCTTTTAGTCACCTTTTTAAAATTGTAATCAGAATTGTGGAGTTCCTGGCCTATATTGTTAAAATTCATTGTTCTGTTTCAGTGTCTGCCTGTCCTGTAAAGAAGAACTCCATTAAAATTGAATGATTACATAAATGGTTTCTATTTAACAACAAGAAGGAGTCGGGGATCATCGCCGATGAGGGAATCAGTGCAGACGCAGGCAGACATACACAGTGAGGTTTCCCCTGAACGGAGTGTAGGGATTTGGTGAGATCTGTCTGTGTAGCGGCCTGGGTGTCCTGTTATAATACCGTTTCACACTGTTATTCGTGCTGGTTCATGTTACTGGGACACATCACATCAAGTATGTCTGCAGTCATCTTGCTGGACTTTTTTTCCATCTGGCCCTCGGGGGGGTGCGATAGACCTTCTCCCAGCCTAGAGATGTGACCGATATTCTAACATCCTGTTTCCTGTCTGTGAAAGCCATGTGACGTCATGGGAAAGGTCGTGACAGAGGTGGCTGTGTTGTGGGATGATGGAAGTGCCCTGGGGAGGTGGGGGGGGTCACCATGTGAGAGGTGGGGGGGGTCACCATGTGGGAGGTGGGGGGGTGTCACCATGTGGGACACACAGTACAAATCACCTTCTGTTGAAGTGACAGAGTCTTTGGGGAAAAGCTTTCTGTGGTGAGTTTGGGATATATGTCATTTCCAGTCAGTCATCTGCATATAAAGACAATTTAACAGGTTATTTAGCTTCTAAGAACATAAACCATGTTTGGTCAGATTCGGTTGGTCCATTTAAATCCCCATGCATGGTGTTTCTTTTAAAATATTGTTGCCATAGATGCTGTGCGAGGGATCAACTCCAGTGTGTCTCCAGTGTGTCTCCAGTGTGTCTCCAGTGTGTCTCACTGAGTCAAAATGCTCCTGCTCACCTCAGATGATCACTGAAAGTTTCTGTCCGTTCTGTTCTTTTTGCATTGTTGACGTTACCTTTGATGGATCATCAGATACACTGCAATTTATAAAATAGGTTTTTTTTTTAGAAAGAGATTTTACAAGATCCGGAGATGATTTTTCCCCACAGCACACATGTAAAGGAAAGCTAATGAACATCAAATCTTTCTTAGGGTGATGTCATTACAGAGGCATTGTATTCCTTGAATACACACGAAACAGCTTTGCCCCCTAGTGGTGACTGTTCCTCATAGTGTGGTCTGATAGGAGTAGCTGGCCTCCTCCTCGCTACTGTTCAGCAGGGGTTGTCTCTCCCCAAAGGATGAAGCCCTCTTCCTCCTCTGCCGCTTACGGCAGACCCGGGTCACCGCCGCAATTACGATGCTGGCCACGAGGACTCCCAGGATCCCGGCCCCCAAAAGCCACTGCCAGACCTGGCGAGCATCTTCCAGGTATGGGATGAGCAGCTCCTGGAGGAGCCGCTGCCCTGCAGTGTATATCGGAGATATTTAGGGGTTACAAAGTTTATTTGTTCCTGAACAAAGAGCGCCCTCTTCTGGTAAGCAAAATAAATTCCTCACGTAGTTATGCGTGTGTGTGTGTGTGTGTGTGTGTGTGTGTCTGTGTGTGTGTGTGTGTGTGTGTGTGTGTCTGTGTGTGTGTGTGTGTGTGTGCGTGCGCGTGTGCGTGTGCGTGTGTGTGTGTGTGTGTCTGGACTCACCTGGACCTAAAAGGTAAGAGTACTCATACCCCAGCTCTCTGGTGGACAGGAAGTAGTCCCCATTTCTGTAGAGGGGGATGAATGGAACCATGTAGTAGCCATCGTTGTGGCCGATGGGGGCGTTGGCCTGAGGGTAGTGGCTTCGTGGTGGTTGGTGTCTCCGCAGCCACTGCTCAAAGATGCTGAGGGGTGTTTTAGAGAAGAATCAGGCTTATCGGTCAGTCTCACTTAGTGCCCCAACCCGGGTCTGGTCCATGCCCTGGGATTTAGCGTGACATGGCAACAGAGAGCCCACAGTTGGAATTATTATAGGCGGAGGAACTGTTTGATTGTCGCAATGATAGTAACACTCTCTGTGTTTCTACTGAGATGTTTCTGTCTGTCAGATCACTTCTCTGCTGGGGTGTCTGTGCAGCGGGGATCTGGGTTGTGTCACGTGGTGGGTTTGCCTGTGAATGTCACACAGTAACTGAGAAAACACAGCCTGGCATTTACGGAAGTTCCTTGTGGGTGGGAAGTCTCTCCTGAGAAGTACCGAGATTATCTGATTCACTGTTTTATCTGTATTCAGCATAGAAAACTTTATTATCTAAATGATCTTCCTGTGGTCCATGCTGCACCCAATTCAGCCTCCTATCTTAGGCCATGCAGAGCTAAACATCCAACAAAACCTGAAAGTGAGGGATGTTGGATGCCCGAGCGATCAGAGGGCGTGGTCATGTACCAGCTGAGGGTAACACGGCTGCTTGATACTTTAGTCAAGTTTTAGGTGTTAAAGTCTGATTTTGGAGGAACACTAAGAGCTTTGACGCTTAAGTTGGCCTGACAAGATGAAGCCAAGACAGGGATTCAGCTCAGCAGAGTGTGTAAATGAAGCTGGATCTCTCTGGTGATAAGCGACCAGAGCTGAGTGATGTCTGACTGTGAGTATCACGTGGACACCGCAGATTACCATGGATTTCCAACGTGTCAAGCGTAAGATGTTAGCAGCACATCTGATCTTTGAGAACTCTACCTATCCTTATAGATCTATGTCCTCACTCTACCTGTCCTTATAGATCTAGGTCCTCACTCTACCTGTCCTTATAGATCTAGGTCCTCACTCTACCTGTCCTAATAGATCTATGTCCTCACTTTACCTATCCTTATAGATCTATGTTCTCACTCTACCTATCCTTATAGATCTATGTCCTCACTCTACCTGTAGAGCACATAAGTGTCCAATCACTTGCTCACCTGTCGATGAAGGCGTGGTGAAGCAGAAAGATGGGGTCGTTAGCGGAGCCCTGGACCGATGACATGGAGCCGTTCATGAACATGTGTAGGGCGTTGTGCATGGTGCTCTGACCGCTGATGGCCAAGCCCGTCTCAGGGCTTGCGAAACCTAAGGGGGGGGGGGCAGAAACTCAGGCTGGGCCGTGTAGTTTTGCTGAGGTGACACTACGCTTTCACATCCCAGGACAACATGCATTTTTATGGTAAACTAAGCTGAAGCAGGATCTTTCAGCTGAAGCTGGCTTCTTCAACTTAATTATTCTTTGTATTGACAAATGTATTGAAATAGCAAACTGATGCGAGTGATTCATTATGGAGTCCTGATCTGTGGACTGCCTATAAACATTCTTGTTGTAGATATAGATCATCTTTATTGTCCCAGAAAGCAATCTTTTTGACAACAGAATTATATAGGGAAAGGTAAATAGATATTGCATACTAGAAAGGAATAGACAGCTATAAGAACATTTTTGCCCATTTGGATTTCCCAGAACCAGATGTTTGCGTTTACATTAACAAAAGCTCACAATCATCCCATTCTTCCAGGTACAATTTTTTATGACCGTTGCCATGACAATGTAAGCTTATAGGTAACTTATTGTTATCCCAGTTTAAAAATCCCTCTTTGAGGTTATATGTGTAGCTAGAATAATTATCCACTTGAAAGGTGACTCAAAAATGCATCTTTATGAAAAGTCCAGGGAGAGGAATTCTAACAGAGAGAATGATGGTCAGACTCATCATATTTAAGGATTTATTATTCCTGCACACAGAGATAAAAAAATAGATCCATCTAATTTCAGGAACACTTTGGTATTACTTATGCACACAGAGAGTAACATTTAGACCCATTTGTTTCCAGGAACACTTTGAGCTGAACTACAAAAACCCTCAGATGTATAAACCACCTAAATTATATTTTAGTTGAGTCATTGGCATGTTCTTCCCACATGAATTACAGGTTTGCTCCTTAACCAGCTGGACAGTTTTATGTAAGCAATTAGGATTACGTAAGTCAACTTGTTTAAGATTACTATCTGCGTACGGTACAGTAGTGTAAAGACAGAGAGAGGAAGGGGGCGCTCACCTTCCAGGGAATTCCTAAAGCTGTGGTTGGCCATCCTGTCCATGGGACCCGTCTCGTAGTCTGGCAGGCTGAGCACGAACTCAACGTCGGCAGAGGTGGGTAGCCGCCTGACCCGTGTGGAGTCATGGTTGCCAGGGTTACGTAGCAGGGGTCCCTCCCCAGTGGTGTTGCAGAGCATCTCTCTACTGTTGTATTCCTCTGGATGCGTGCAGATGACCTACAAAAATATTTAACCCGCATAATTTAACTTTTAAAAATGTACAAATGCAGGCGATCTATAGCTTACAAAAATAACAACAGTCTAATAAAAAGACTTAATGACTGACAGAATATTTCAATGAATTTAATTTCCGTCATTGGCTGATGCAAATTGCTATGGTCAGAAAATGTTCCATCTCTCTATATTATCGATGTATTAGACGTAGTATTAAATATCCGTGATACAGCGGGAAAGAGGTTCATACAAACCGAGGAGGTCAGTCTGAGGGAGTACGTTGAAGACCGGTCTTGAGTACTACAGGATTAGATACAATGAGTATAAAAATATAAGAATGATCCAGTCTACGTTTTCATTCAGTACATTTTCCCTCCAAAATCAATAATTAAAAAGCGCAAATTAATGTGTGTAATGGCTAATGGGCGCTCGGTCTCCCCCGCAGACGTGCGTGGTTTGCGGTCGCCCACCGGGGCCGTTAGATAACCGCAGGCCGTGGGAGAACAAGCGCCGCGCGGTCTGACCATGGGCACCAGGACCAGCGCGTCCCCGACCTTCTGATCACTGCTGCAAATGAGTGTGTTAAATGTACAGTATATTGAAAACACACTCTGGGCGTTTTCCATCCCTCTCCTGTTCGCATTTCACCGGCTACAGAGACGAAGGGGAGCGCATCTGCTCAGATACCTCATGCTGATGCGTTTTGCTCGAAGTCACCCGGCCCTGCAGACACGGAAGCGGAAAGACGCCTCTTAATTATATAACGTGTGAATTCATTTAGGTGGCCGAGTTTCGCACCTGTGTCATTGCTTCCGATGGACATCGACTGATGCATTATAAATCACCATACCTACCCAGGGGTGACAAATTTGTATTTATACACCCTGTACTTGTGAGCTGCTTAGACGTCTGATGTAGATTCTGGTTCCATTAAGCAACCAGAGACGGGGTTGTCTGTTGTACTCGCGAACGTTAAATTAAATAACTTTATTGGTAACTTTCTGTTGCATGAACTTATAAAGTATACGGATCTTAGTGGTGTCCAAATAGGTCTTTAACACAATTTCTCTTGGAAATCACATACCTTCATAATACAAAGTAAATGTTACAGCTATAGACGCACTGCTGAACCTATGAGCCACATCCTTCAAAAACACCCCAAGCAGCTCATTGTGGTGTTGGGCTCGTACAATGTGTAATATTTTGTATGGCTTTTGTTCTGTTGCTTACATTCATTTGTTACTGATCGATCAGTCTAGCTGCCTTCCTACGTGCGCTGATTGA